CCTGATAAATTTCCACATAATGTTTATAAAACTCTGCAGGTAGACCGTCACTACCTGGGGATCTACCAAGGTTGAGATTATTAATTGCTTCCCATATTTCCTTCTCGTTTACTGGTTTTATTAAAGATTCATTTTCCGATTCCTTTAATCTAGGTTTGCACTTCTCTATAAAGTTTTCACAGTATTCATCATTAGTTTCAACTCTTTTAAATAGATTCCCAAAACATTCTTTAATTACATAGATTATGCCTTCTGTATTCACAATTTCTTCACCATTTTCTCTCTTAACCTTAGTAATTAATTCCTTGTTTCCGTTACTTTTTTCTTTACAGATCAAATAGCGAGAAAGCTTTTCTCCTTCTATTCTGTCTTTTATTCTGGATCTTATTTTAACACCATCACAAATTTTGTTCCTTAATTCATTTATTCTGGTTTTCAGTGCCTTTATTTCTTCATGATTCACATCAAAGCATTTAGCTTCTTCATAAAGTTCTCTTAACCTACTTTGAAATAAATTAATTAGCCCATATTTTTCTTGCGACATTCTTTTACATATTTTTATAAAAAAGTTCTTACATTCTGGTTTAGCACATTGTTCCCACCACTGTAAAACATTCTGGTATTTGTTTATTTTCTCCTTAACATGTTTCCAAAACACTCCAAAGTTTTCCTGTACCTCATCAGAGTTTAAGATACTACAATACAGTTTCCAGAAACCTCTACCTACTTTTACATTTTTGTTAATGTTTACTTTTGACAGAACCATTGAATGGTCTGAAAAACTGACTGGAACAGTATCACATTTTACTATTTTGTTCTCAAGCCCCTTAACATAAAGCCTATCAATTCTTGACTCATATTTATCCCTAACATATGTAAACTCAGGTTGATAATTCTGTATCATGGCAACATCCTTAAGTTTTATATCCTTTATAAGAATTGTTAAAGCTTTGGATACCAAACCTTTGTTGTCATGATTGCTGCAATCTCTCATGCTGGTAATACAGTTAAAGTCTCCCCCAATCATTATATTTTCAATATTATTTCTGATATAAAATAATAAATCATCAGAAAACAGTTCTTCTCTCTCCCTTTTCCTTGTATTCCCTGATGGGGCATAAATGTTAATGATGGGAATTATATGGTCTAACACGGAAACTCTGACACATAAAATTTGGTCATTCTCATCCATCTCATAGTAAAGTATTTTGTAAGTGGAATTTTTTCTAACTAATAGTGCAGTTCCCCCTTTTAACAAATGTGTACCGTTTATAATAATTTCGAAGTAATCATTTAGATAAGATAATTTCCCTGGATCCTTAACAATATGTTCCTGTATCATAAGAATATCAATATTATAATACTTAACAATGGATAATAGTTGCATTTGTTTACCTAAACTATTTAGACCATTCACATTTAATGTTGCAAACATTATATACATCTTAACTATTGTTATAATAATGTAATGAAAAAAAATAATTTATTTACTTTTTTCCTCTTTACGTCTCTTTTTTCTTCTTCATCCCCTTTATTCGCCTCTTTTTTGGCTATTTCTTTTCCATCCCTCTTACTTAACATTACCTTACTACCACTAAAATATGCAGTTGCATAATTGGGGAATGGGTCTCTTGATTTACATGTAATATATAAGTAACATAAGTGATACACGTATGATGTATAATAATTAGGTGGGGAGAAGCTCAAACTACAAGGCATTTCAACATGGTGACAGTGCGAAAAAGTAAGATTTACTGGGAGTGAATACACTGGTTGATTACAAGTTATTGATAATTTTTACAATGGTTGGGACTGGGCTGTTCTTATAGCAATCAGTTTGTGCTCGTATAGGCTGGATGTGGTTGTGGTGTCGAACAGCAATTCTCGGACGAGGGATCTCGGGTGGTAGTAGGAGCCGGTGTCGAGGATGGTGCAGAAGCTTCTCACCAAATTTGCAGATGAGGTCGTGGTGATGGTCAGAAAGAGCCGAGAGGGTTATTGTGTTGAGCCCTTCTTGATATGTGGAGTAGGAAGGGGAGAGAATAATCTTGCATGTTCTCTTTTGCACTTTTTCTAGGTGTTTATGTTGTGTGGCATTTAGGGAGGAAGACCAGGTAGGGGAGGCATAGGTGAGCTTGGGAAGTATGAATGTTGAGTAAACACTGAGGAGCTCAGGCGCAGGAACTCTGAGGGACTTGAGTCGGCGGAGGAGGTGGAGACGGAAACTGGAGGATTTGACAACTTCACTGACGTGTGGTTTTCAATTTAGTTTGTTGTCTATGGTGGCGCCGAGGAGCTTAGTGTGTGTGTGTGTCAGTGTGTGTGCATGTGTACACATTAAGAACGTCAAGGCAAAGACGTCAAAATAAATCTCGGCTCACTCCGCTAGTTACCATGGAAACATGGACGCTACCTAAGACTATATGAAAGACGGGAAAGCTCAGGTATAAACAACACAACTAGGTGTAGTATTTTCTCAGAGCGTATAGTGCGCCGTCTATTGAGCGCCCTACCAAGTACCTTTCTCAACAGGGTGCTGAATACTAACAGTGGCTTCTATTTAGCTCTTTGTTAGGGTGCCAACCCGGGGGATAATTAAAGGCCGCGCTCATAGTCTGTTTATTAGCGAAGGTGACAAGGAAAGACAGACATGTCCGCAGAGAGTGGTGTCTGGTCCACAGTGTGGCGTCTGGCCGGAATTAACTCCCGTTCCGTCCGCTGGCGAATAATACACTATTGTCAATGTGCAGATTCCGATTGTCATGTTTAATGTGTAAGCTAGCAGACGACGCGCTCCACACTAGCGACATCTATCCGCCGTACTACCAAATTTGTGAATTCGTTCGTGTGTTAACCATTACAGGTGAATGCTGAGATTTCCCGTCTTCTCAAAGTCTTTGACGCGCCCCTGGGTTTTAGTTAACTGCCTTGCCAACAGATGACGTTGATCGGAGCTCAGTGGCTCACGTTTTTTTTTATCGATAAAGGTAGACGCATTCCCGTCTTTCTTATATATAGTCTTTGGGGTGGTGCTAGGATGTTCGAGGGGCGTCTGATGAGGTATACCGTAAAGGGTATATAGCACCTGCGAGCATGCAGGCTAGGAGTCAATCTCCCGCTTGGTGGATAGCCCACCTGCTATCAAATCTCCCATTTTATTTCCCACTTCCTAACTTTACCTTCCTCCTACACCATCTTCCAACTTCAGAGCAAACGGCTCTCTTCTCTCCATCTCATCATCATAGGAGTCAGTCGATCGCTTCCACTCAGTGTCCAGATCAAACCTAGTAAAACAACTGAAGATAATTGTTGTGCAAGTATTTTGAAATTGTTGTGAGTAATATAAAGTGAAAAGATTTAGGAATTGTACACTGGTAGTGTGCCGACTAGGTAATAGGAAACTCAGTTTGTGAAAAAGATCTAGGTGTATTTGTTAGCAACGACTTGAAACCTAGAAAACAATGTATTAGCGTTCGCAACAAGGCAAACAGGATTCTTGGGTTCATATCTAGGTCTGTGAGTAACAGAACTGCTGACGTTATCTTGAAACTTTACCTAGCATTAGTGAGGCCACACATGGATTATGCGGTTCAGTTCTGGTGTCCTTATTATAGAATGGACATAGATTCTTTGGAGAGAGTACAAAAGAAGAATGACAAAAATGATCCATAATATTAGAAACCTTCCATATGAAGAAAGACTGAAAAGCTTGGGCACATTCATTAGAGGCGTAGAGCTAGGGGATGATGAGGTGTACAAGTGGGTAAGTGGGATTAACAAGGGTAAAATGGAAGATGTTCTGAAGCTCAGTAATAACGAAATAACTAGAACAAATGGCTTTAAATTAGATAAATTCCGATTCAGAAAGGATATAGGCAAGCACTGGTTTGGTAATAGAGTTGTGGATATGTGGAATAGGCTACCGAGTGCTATAGTAGGATCGGGGACGCTAGGAAGCTTCAAGACGAAGTTGGATAGGCACATGGAAGTGCTGGGATGGGTGTGAAAGGGATCTGCCCTGTATGGGCCAGTCGGCCTCCTGCAGTATCCCACTTTCTTATGTTCTTATGTTATGTACAGTATACCCCCCTGTATACTCGAAGTGAGAAGTCCAGCTGTGAAGCCTGTTAACAGTGTTGTGAGGAATCATTGCTAATTAAAGAAGACTACAGTGCACAAGTTTGTTTCTGTGACCTGGTGAAAGTCTACCTGCTTGTTGCTTGTCTGTACACTGATACCAATCGTCGGGAAGTTACCAGTGATTGGCGTGACACCAGTGGGAATTCGACAACACTTGTGAGATATCTACTGCTTCTGTACATGCGACCCTAGCCGCTGGTAACCGGTGGGTTTATATATATATATATATATATATATATATATATATATATATATATATATATATATATATATATATATATATATATATATATATATATATATATATATATATGAGAACATAAGGCCACAGGAAAGCCTTAGCCTTAAGAGTATTATAAAAAAATTAAACAGTGAAACGTTAACCAAGTCAAGGCCGTAGTCCTTGCCACCGCCTGGTCACCAGAAGTAGTGTGGCGTCATTGAATAGGGCGGAGCTAAAGTTTATGACGTTACAGCGGTGTGTCCTTACTGTTTTTAGTCCTTGGTATAGGCTACCGCTAGCTATACACTGTTACAAGCTGTATAAAGTGAAAACACGATCACGGTGAAGTTATTCCCGTTCCACCACAATGGCTTTCGTTTAAGAGATGCATACACCAAACAATGTCTGTTAATCTTTCACCAATCAATAATCAAGCCTTGCCTGATGACTGTGTAACTACATAGCCAGGTCTTGTTGAGGGGATCAGTAAATAGGTAAGACTTAATGAAATGACCTTCAGGCGGGCATGTCTTGTTGAGGGGATCAGTAAACAGACAAGTCTTAATGAAATGACCAGTAGGCAGGCAGGTCTTGTTGAGGTGACCAGTAAGCAGGCAAATCTTAATGAAATGGCAAGTAGGCAGGCAGGTCTTGTTAAGGGGACCAATAAACAGGCAAATCTTAATGAAATGACCAGTAGGCAGGCAGGTAATGTTGAGGTGACCAGTAAGTAGGCAAGTCTAATGTTAGTGGCCACTAAACATAGCATATCGTATTATAGTGAACGACAGTCATTCGTATGGCTTTTGACAATGGCCTAAAGCCATTCGGCCTATTAGTTCTTAGGCAGATGGCAGAGGTTATCATCATGGTAGTGTGGGTGAACACTCAGAAGGCAGGTCTGATCATCATGGTGGTCTCCATCAGAGAGTAGTGGTAGCCCTTCCATGGTTGCCAGTTGATTCCGTCGGCGTAGGAATCGTGTTTGCCTACGTACTGGTAGCCGTTCAAGTTGGAGATGTGACACTTGTCGTACCACCAGGCGCCGCGGTATCTGTGACACGGTAAACGGAAAAAATTAATGTGGCAATTGCACTGTGGTGTTTTGGTATTATATATTGAGACTGGTTCTTGTTTATTTACTTTATACCCAAACGATATAGCCACCTGAATGGGCGTAATATTTTATTATATTTATTTATTGTTATAAGTGTGCAAACGGTATTATCAGTAGTTAAGTATTTGTATAAACCAGACACGAGCGTCACTACTGCAGGAAGCTTTCATCTCGTTGTTTACCAAGAATATATACGTACATGGTGTCTATAATTTATTCACATTATTGTGAAGCTCAATAAAAATATTACTGTAAAAGATATCATACAACGGTTTGCTCACACCCAGAAGTCCAGGGTTCTATTCCCGACTAGTGAGGTTTTATATATATATATATATATATATATATATATATATATATATATATATATATATATATATATATATATATATATATATATATAATGAATTATAACTATACTGAGACAAATAAGTTCACCTCTTAATTGTCGACGGTTATCTTAAGTTGAGGGTTGGATGTTTTCCTAGTTTCCTTTGTTTTCATCTCAATGGCTTATACATATAAACTACACAAGGAAATAAAACGTTTTCCAGCAATCATACTCGATAAATAAAATATAATGTACTTTATATACAGTAACATGATGTCTATTCTTAACTATGCTTTTAATAGACCATAAAAAGTGTAGTAATTAAAAAGCGATGTCTGTTAACAGTGGAGGTGAGGGACTGTGTACACCAGTGTGTGTGTTAACAGTGGAGGTGAGGGACTGTGTACACCTGTGTGAGTGTTAACAGTGGAGGTGAGGGACTGTGTACACCTGTGTGAGTGTTAACAGTGGGGGTGAGGGACTACGTACACCTGGGCACAGTTGGTACCGTCACCGTCGTGGTCAGCATCGTGGGTGGAGAAGGAGTAGCCATTGTGTCTGGCGCTCTCGGAGCCCAGACCGTCCCCTGCGTCACCCTTGTACCTGCTCAGGGGGAGACGATGAATCATGATGAGAAAGCTAATTACACTGTTTTATTTCAATTATATCCATGTACTGTATATCCACAAATAAAAGGGATTACCAGGAATGGAACATATTCAGAGGATAGTATCTGTCCCCTGAGCAACACTCACTCAAAATGGGATCACAACTCATACAATGATTAATAAAGAGTTTCATTATGCTAGTTTTAAATGTCTTTTCTCGCGCCCTAGTGAAGAAAGTTGAACCTAGATATTGGCTGTGGTTGTTATGCAACTTTCAACATGTAATTGTAGGTATTCTAGTGATTTATAATAGATGTACACATTTTATCGTGGCATGACTTAGCTAATAACTGTGTGATTTGTTAATGAATAATTTACTGGTGATTATATTAATGTATTAACACATTTGGGATAGAAAACATGTCCTTCGTCAGCAGACTCTTGTGTAACTCTCCATCACAGTAATTTTTACCTTCCTATTTTGATTCTGTAATAGGTGTCGGGGGAACCTATGTAGAATTGTCCGTATTTTGCCCATCGGTGTTGGTTTTCGTAGGCCTTGAGATCAATCCTCAGCTCCTGCAGTGTGGTGGAGGTAAGGTGGTGGAGAAGGTCGAGGCCAAGCCAGAACTCTCCCTGGAAGTGGCCAAAACCCAGTTGGTACTCGACCCAGGTGCGGTAGAAGTCCTCACGCTCAGTCAGGTTGCGACGCCTCTGGAAGACTGTCCAGCCGCCGCCATCAACGATGTGGTCGCAGTAGACGGTGACTGGGGCGTCGGGGTGCTGCAGGAAGGGATACACCTGGCGGATGCCGGTGCCGGTGTCACCCGAGTCCAGCAGGTCTCGACAGTGCCTAGGACGTTTCCTGCGCTCCTCTGCCTCCGTTAGAGCTTGCCTCACCTCAGCCAGTGTCTCCCTCATCTCCTGTAACGCAAACACCTTTTATTATAGGATAGTTGTCGTCATTACCTCTATAAGGGAAACACTGGTTTTGCTGCGTTATTATGGTTAATATTTAGAAGCTGCCAGGCACAAAACTCTATATTGATTCTTAAAGAGGGCGACAGAGGAAAACCAAAGTAAGAATACTTGACTTTTTATTCGGAAATTATTGTTTTCGAGTTATTTTAACTTATTACACTTAAATATTGTAAAAAATCGCAAGGAAATCCATTGTTTACTTATTACTTGGTTCCTCCCTGTAGCTACAGGAGCTTACCCATGTAATGATTATTGCAGGAATCCCAGTATGTTGTGAGGTTCTGGCCAATGCAACAAATCCACCAACAGTTTTGATAGTTTTAATGTGTTGCATTTACTGAAAACATTATGCTTTATGCCCTGTCATATTTTATTATGGAGTATTTATATTTGCAATTTAGATTACTGTAGATTAGATCCAGATTAGTTGTGCAGTTTTCTGAATAACAGCCTGCAATCTGCATGTACCGTATTTTTCTAATAGTTGATCTGAAAATGTTTCACAAGCTTGTAATCCAACCACACTGTCAGCTTTCTGGGTAATAGTTTTTTTTTTATAAAAGGTAAAGGTGGCCGATAAGTCATACAGTGATTCAGAATTAACTAACAACTGGTACATATTTAGGAACAGTAACTATTTTACTACTGCATACATGTATTAATGTTTGCTAAATGCATTTGTAAATAATTTTCTGTGATAAATACATTTTTATTTGAGAACATTCCAGTGTGGAATAGTAGTCTTTATACTGATGAAACAATATGAAATACATAATTAGAAAATATATGGGATTAAACAAATTTTTTGAATTGTTTATGGTTTGTGCCATTTAACTTAAAATATTGATAGAGTGGAATGTTTATTAGAACAGATAGATTCCTTAGCAACATTAATGTAGGTATAGGTACAGCGTTGATGTTTTATTCAAGAATAGAAGCCGAGATGTCAAAGAAGTTATATTATATGCCGCGGCCACTTTAAAATTCAAGATCGCCGCCACAAATAGTTGTATTGCACAGCGGCATTTCCAAGACTAGCCACACACTATATGACAGAAAAGTACAAATTTCTCATTTTGTACCCCATGACCTCATGTGACCTTTGTAAGCCTCTAATCCCCAAAGCCAGAGCAGCAACGATTCTGAGAATATTCCGAAGGCATAATATACGGAGTATTTTATAGCTGTTGCCACACTCTACTCTGAATGTTTAGCACCACTTGTTTACGAGCAGAATATACTGTAGTAGTTTGCACCTGACTAAATATAGATGATAGTGTAGTTGATGTGGTGTAGATGATAGTGTAGTTGATGTGGTGTAGATGATAGTGTAGTTGATGTGGTGCAGATGATAGTGTAGTTGATGTGGTGTAGATGATAGTGTAGTTGATGTGGTGTAGATGATAGTGTAGTTGATGTGGTGTAGATGATAGTGTAGTTGATGTGGTGTAGATGATAGTGTAGTTGATGTGGTGTTGATGATAGTGTAGTTGAGTAGATGATGTGGTGTAGATGATAGTGTAGTTGATGTGGTGTAGATGATGTGTAGTTGATGGTGTAGATGATAGTGTAGTTGATGTGGTGTAGATGTGTAGTTGATGTGGTGTAGATGATAGTGTAGTTGATGTGGTGTAGATGATAGTGTAGTTGATGTGGTGTAGATGATAGTGTAGTTGATGTGGTGTAGATGATAGTGTAGTTGATGTGGTGTAGATGATAGTGTAGTTAATAATGCAGTCACGAACAAAGGCTATATATGAGCTGCCCCTCAAAACAAACCTGAACAATGTCGGGCTCAACAACTGGTAATCAATAAAGAAGAAATTCGTTGTGAAGATGACGTTCGACTAACGCAATAACCATTTCCTTTACTCAAATTCTCTTGTACAGACAGTCACCACCAACAGGAGGTGTTCACGCAGATTTTTTTTTACGGGGTTTAGCCCATCCGGGCACAGATCACTGACCCACATCAGGGCCTGGGGGGCGAAAGTGTAGTAATAATAATAGGGGCGCCGATGGTAGAACGGTACCGCTCTTGCCTCGCAGTGAAATGTCACGGGTTCGATTCCTGGGCCGGTGGAAAAGTTGTTTGGACATACTTCCTAGTCCCCCTTGGTCCCTGTACCTGTTGTAAATCGATAGTTGCGGATCCGTATTCAGGGAAAGTTGTTGGAGCTTCCAATAACTTGATGACATCAAACCATTGACTCTTCAGGCTTCTACGCCCTTAACTCATGAGACATAAAGGCAAGCATGAACTTAGCATGCTTCCCTGTTGGGCGCTGTAAACGATTCTGTGCTTCACCTTACACAGGATGTAGGGGGGTGCCCAATAAAAAAAAATAATAATAATAACAATAATAAATACAAAAATGAAAAAAAGATCAAAAGTGAGAAAAAATATATGTATGTTGTGTTGTCAATAATAAGAGAAACAATTGAGACCCTGCAATTGTGTGTAATTGAGGCAGAAAGACAGATGAGCAACCTGGGACTTGGCAACAATTTTCGTAATGCCATATAGTAGCAGGGCCTACCATAGACAACACATTATGCTTCCAATATCTTCCCAGGCGGTAGTACCTCCCTGTTTGGTAGCTGCCTAATACCTACTACTGTTGGCGTTTTCAGGGTCAGAGTTAACAAATAATGGGCGAGGCATTGTAATCGTTCGCGAATGTCGCCATTTTAGTGAGATAAATTTTGTTTATAATATTTTGTAATTTAGATTTTACACACACCACACTGATAATCGTCATGCATTACAAGAATAAGAAGTGACTAAACACAGCTAAGAGACCTATACTAAGTGTTTCCTCTCCCCCAACTCTCCTATTAACGGTAGTTTCAGTTTGGCGATTATGTTTGAGCTGTAGCTCTCAAGTGAGCCGTTACATCTCACTCTCACATCTCCAGTTTGGAGAAGAACAAATTATCTACACAACCTGGAGGATGCGGCCCAACCCCTCAGGCAATATACGGAGGCTCCTATCATCAACTTGATTCATATACTGAGAGATCACAAACGTTGTGTGATCCAAGGCTCTACAGACAGAAGGTGAAGCAGAACGAGGAAGAGGTGCACAGGCGGAAGTAGAGAGAGAGAGAGAGAGAGAGAGAGAGAGAGAGAGAGAGAGAGAGAGAGAGAGAGAGAGAGAGAGAGAGAGAGAGAGAGAGAGAGAGAGTATACTGTAAATGTTCACCTTCCTCTGGCAACTTTCTGCAGGTAACTTGTCACTTGGTAGACACGCATTAGGATTCCGTTGTATGTGAGGGATTAGAAATTTTAAGTGTGACGTGACACGAGCGCCGGAGCGAGACAGAGACTTAGAGGGACGGGGAGAGACAGAGTGAGAGTGTTTTACATAATGTCTTAAGGAAGTAAGGTTTCTTACCTCTAAGAAAGGTTTGCCGTCCCCTTGGTGAGCGCAGGAAGCAAGGGCGGAGGCGACGCAATAGGGGCTGTATCCTGCAGCCTGTAGCAGGGAGGGCACTACAGGACACCCCTCAGGCTGTGATGCTTGGGAGACCGCAGCTACTACCTGCATCACCAACACTGCCGCCTTCATCATCACACTCCCGCCCATGATCCACGCCGCTGTAGCGCTGTCAGTAGTCTTGTGATACACTCCACGTGTACCGGAGTTACACCCTCCAGTATGAGATAATTGTTAGATATATGCAGTTTATTCACGATGTATCAACGGTATACAGAAATATTCAATAGACTGTTATTCACACGGTAAGGAGTGATGGCCGGTGTCTCAACGGTAGGAAGACTGAGCGCTGACTGCGGTTGTTCATCACTGACCACCGCTGTGTACGTGACTGACGAGGCCCGTGATTAACACATGTGACTCCTTCACAGGCCACTCCCAACCTGTGTGACTCAGGGGATGTTTAGTCTCTCAGGTTGGGTTTTCCAGCCCGGCCTGGGCCAAGTTTGGTCGTTGAGGCAACACAGTTATATTCCCGAAGCTGGGATGACAGACGTTCCTGCACTAACTTGCCGGAGTGTAGGACTAATGCGTTTCCTTCTTCATGCCTTTCGGGTTAAAATCATTAAGGTGCCGTCGACCTCACAGAAGTTTTTCTTTGATTTTAGTTTCCTGTTTAATTATTTAACGTTTCTATTTTCGTAAAGTGTATAGTAATTTCCCTTTGTTATTTTATTATCTGCCTTTTGTTTGGGTGGAGAGAGAGAGAGAGAGAGAGAGAGAGAGAGATTCTCTGACGTTGGCAGTTTTATTTACTGGTGCGTGGGAAGTTGGTAAGATGAGCGATAAGGAGGGAGAGGGGGAGGCTAGAATAAGAGGGAGTAGGGGGTCGGGGTTTTAGGAGGGAGGGAGAGAGGAGGAGGAGGCAACCTAGAAACATACTGGAAGGAGGCAGAGAGAGGGGGGGGGGGGTATTAGAGGTACATTATTTCATCAGTGCTCAACAGCGAGTAAATTATCGCTAATGTAAGATTTTTTCAGCTGGAAATGTGAATATATACTTCCTATTTTCAGCCCGACTTTCTTGTTTCAGGTTTCAGTTTGTAAACTGATTGACTTATATTAATTTACCAGAGTTTGTTGAGTGAAGGAGTCAGATCTGTGTTTGTTAGGTCTTCATAGTTATCCGTGTAAGTGATGTTCGCAGCTTGTGTGTGTGTGTTCTCAGACGAACAGCCTAGGTAGCTTGTTTGTTTGTTTGATGTAAAAAAAAAGAATTGTAAGAGAAAGAAAGAAAGAAAGATATTAAGGGACAGGAAAATGAAGCCATTGAGCAAAGGAGAAAGAGAATGAGTCGAGGGACAGAGAGAGAGAGAGTAAAATATACATTTCTACACTCACGGTATACATCCGGTGAGTCACAGGCAGTCCAGTGTACGGAAGAGTATGGTGCAGAAGCTTCTCACCAAATTTGCAGATGAGGTTGTGGTGATGATCAGAGAGAGCTGAGAGGGTCAGTGTGTTGAGCACTTCTTTATATGTGGAGTAGAAATATCGTTTATGAGCTTTATGGTAGTGAGTGGGATGGCGGTGAGTGAGGTGGTGGTGAGTGGGATGGCGGTGAGTGAGGTGGTGGTGAGTGGGATGGCGGTGAGTGAGGTGGTGGTGAGTGAGGTGGTGGTGAGTGGGATGGTGGTGAGTGAGGTGGTGGTGAGTGGGATGGTGGTGCTTACTATGGATGTGGCGACCATCTTGGATATGTGACGTTATTCTTTTCTGCTGCAGGATGTTTGTTCTTTCTCTCTCTCTAATATTATTAAAGATGCAATGCTCAGGTGTGGTACTTGGCGACACAAGTGATGCACAACTGAAAACCTGGGACGTAAATGTAATAGTAAGTTATTCTTGCACTGTAAAACAAATGTAAAACAAATTATAAGAAAAATGCGTTTTTGACTACTAAAATATGATTTTCATCGTTCTACCGAGGGCAGAAGATGATTACCTATTAAGCTAAGATTTTGCAGAGGCTATTTTCTCATGCATGCGCCACTTTTGGTCTCTATTAGGATATGGAAATTGAAAAAAAAGGTAAAATAGACCCACCCTACTGAGCAACCTGTATCAGAGTCCAGGAGGTTCCTTCTCTGTCTTGTTCCAGCTTCTGGCCTGAGCAGATGTCTGTCTCTGCCTCTCTCTCCCATTTCTGAGCCACTGTGGGGTTAAAGATTGTGTTTCTTGTCCTAAGGAATGTTAGGTGGGAGTCAGTGGTGCTTCTGCTGAACTTCCAGTTAGGTAAGAAGGGCATTTGTATTATATCTTGTACCTTTTATTTGTAAATATATGTAAAGAAGGTAGATTTACCTTGGTGTTTCTGTTGGTCACTTTTGCCGAGGATATTATTCTTCAGCCATGACTGAGTATTTGGTAACACCTAAAGAGTAACTCATGAGTATCTACCCCACTTAAAGCTAGCCATAGCAGTATATCACTGTTGTCCAGCTCTGTGTCTTTTGGGGTAAGCTTGGGCGAGACACTGGGCTGTGATAATATGCAGAAATTTGCACTTCGTCGATTTTTGCTTATATCAAGTCCACCTCCAATATGGCGTGGGTAAACATGAATATCCAGATCTCGCGACGTCTTCTAAAACTACAGTAGTGTGTGTGTGTGTGTGTGTGTGTGTGTGTGTGTGTGTGGAACATGAATTATACACACAAATTATTATAGTTTGTAGCTGATGGCCCGGACTGGTCTCTTGCCATACTGTGTGAGGTCACCTGGTGTAGTGACTCGTCCTTGGGTGTTGATATGAAGGACCTCACGTGGTCATGAAGACACAATGTGGTGTGGGGTGGTGTCACAGTACCTCACTCTGCTAGGTGGTGCTGTGTTATCTGTAGTCAGGTGTAAGGCCGATCCACTGTTGTTCCCAGGGTCGACTGATTAACACCTCCTGGTCAGAAGATGGTGGTCGGTTCCCTAGCGGGCACCATATAGGTCTTGAACCTCCGGTGGTCAAAGCTATAATAATAATAAAAAAGATAATTATTAACGGTTTATTGAAAGAGCATGGCAGCCGGAAGGCTGAAAATATACAGTTACATAATTGGGGAATGGGTATCTTGATTTACAAATAATATACAAGTAACATAAGTGACACAAATATGATATATAATAACTAGGTGGAGAGAAGCTCAAACTACAGGGCATTTTAACATAGTGACAGTGCAAAAAGTAAGATTGACTGGGAGTGAATACACTGGTTGATTACAAGTTATTGATAATTTTTACAGTGGTTGGGACTGGGCTGTTCTTATAGTGATCAGCTCGTGTGTGTGTGTGTGTGTGTGTGTGTGTGTGTGTGTGTGTGTGTGTGTGTGTGTGTGTGTGTGTGTGTGTGTGTGTGTGTGTGTGTGTGTGTGTGTGTGTGTGTGTGTGTGTGTGTGTGTGTGTGTGTGTGTGTGTGTGTGTGTGTGTTTACTCCCCTCAAACTTTTCCTTTGTTGTCACACGTTTATGACCACATTTCTCAATAGGGCAACCTTTTCACGAGGATGCACCATTGCTTACAATAAATGTATACTGTATGTTATGTAAACAAAATTAACTTCAATGCTTTTTTGTTGAAAGTTTATTTAAAGTATCAAACATAGTATAAAAGTAGCAACTCTTAACAGGTAATATGGATCAACCATCCACATAAACACATCACTCATCTATAGATAAACTTCCCTGGATGGTTGCCGCCACTATAGTCATACACTTTGGGTTTTGGTTCAATGTCAGTACCTGTAAGGCCCGCTTCTAACGAGTGTGTTTTCCCGAGTGGGAAATTTCACGCTCAGGAATTTTTCTAGAAGTCATGTGTTTACACGAGCGTGTTATTCACGCTCAGGATGGACGAAATTTGACTAATAAAAAAAATCAATTATAGGTTATCAAGAGCTGCCACGACGTTGATCTGTAATATTATATTCGTCAGTATCACTGTTAATATATATATATATATATATATACAGGGGGTATAATGTCTTCATGCTTGCTCTGAAACTTTTAAACGATGGTGTAAGTTAAACCTTTAAAAATCATGCAACTACTCTATCACAGGCAGAGGCCAGGTATCATGTTAAGTGTTTCCCAGTACAGTATTTTCAGCGCTGACGAACCAAACCAAATAGTGGTGCTGTTTGATAGTCGTTCTGGTGTGACGAATGCCACATACGCTAAACATATTAGCTCATATCATAGATCTTTTATTCATCCCATCAATGATTTCCAGAGCTATATTCCAGGAGTCCCTTTTTTTTGTAGAGGGGAGAGGGGGGGTTGATACTTTCTCCTTCGCTAAAAATAAGAATAATTAAAAGATATAGTATTACTGTTCTCTGAAAAATTTCTACCAAGACGTGTATTTAATATGCGTAACACTTTTCCCTCTTGTTGAATTATTGAACCCTGCAGAGATCACGTTCCCCCTACAGTATGCTTAGCGTCCTCAGGTGAAACTATAGTTTGTTCACTCTTGAATTTGCACCTGACGCACTCCATTACCCAGTCAATCATGCTGCACATAGTCCGGCAGCAAATGTAAGGTACTACACGGCTGGGACCTACTTTAAACTGCGTGTCAACTTTTGGTTTTTTTATTATTTTATAGTTGTTAACAAGTCGATAGATCAAATAAAACTTGTTGCCAACAATCTGTTTGGCTTTAGGCTATATTTTAGAGCTGTCAGATTACGCAATATTACGGTACAAAATGCGGCCATCTGGGAACGGAAAAAAGTAAATGTAGGCGACCAAATGGAATTTAGTTTTTACAGAAGCACTTACTTGGGAGTCTGAAATGGTATTGAGTGTAGAGTTTCCACACTTGCTTACCCAACCATATTATTTCCATCCAGACGGGTCAATGATTATGCTTTATGGCAAATATCAGGTGACTACATTAATTGAAAACATTCCACTGCCGGAGACAACTCAAATGATGAACTCTGAAGATGATCCTTCTTCCCTGCCTGAACAAACAACAGCGATGGACCCTGATGATGATGATGCTCCTTCACTGCTTGAACATACAACTACTGTGGACTCTCAAGATGATGTTCATTAAGCTATGTGAGACCAATTACACCGATGAACTTAACGACAATGCCTCTTCACTGCTGGAACCTTCCGCAATAATGGACTGTGAAGATGATACGCTATTTAGGCCATGGCGTAGGGCTCTCTCCTCCCCCCCCCCCTCCCCCGTATTTTCCCATCCCCAGTAGCTTAGTTTTATCGCTTGTTGTACTCGTCTTAAAAAGTTAGTTTTTTTAATAGCTCTGAGTACAAGATTGTTTAGAAATCGAAAAAAATACAATCATGATCACATAATAAAACAAAATACTATATACTTTAGTGTATTTTTTATTAATTTTTTATTGTCAGCTGTAATTCTACTAAAGCGTCTGCAACGATTCAGCATATACAGTACATACTAGTGTTTGAATGTGCGCTGTGACTGCACTTGTGATGTTCCACTCCTTGAATTTAGTTGGTGCAGCAAGTATAAAATATTGTCTCGAAGAAGCAGATTTTTTTTACTTCATTCAAGAACTGTATTCATTTGCTGCAGCTTCACCTAAACGGTGGTCAAAGCTAGATGATGGGATTTCTTCAGCATGAAACACCAAAGTATTAACTCTCAAGACTCTCAGTGACACTCGCTGGTGCTGTCACTATGAAGCAGTGCGAGCTGTTGACAGAAATTATCAAGTTCTGTAATTTGTTCTGTGATATGGGTGAAGACACAACACAACCGCCTGACACACGAATCAAGGCTTCATCTTTAGCTGAAAAAATGACACAACTGGAGACATCCTTCATGTGTCAGTTCTGGTTGTGTATTCTAAAATGCTTCCAGAATTCAAGTGTCAATCCTTCACACTGAAGACCTTGATCTGCAAGAAGCTTGTTTCACATTTGAATCATTAGCTGCATTCATTAGAGACCTGAGAGAAATATTTGACAAGTTTGAAACAGCTGCCAGACAAACAATGCCTGACATCTCAGAGCACTATAAAAATCAAGGGTCAGAAGATCAAAGAATATGAGTGATGACAGTGGCGCGGAGGACGTGGTGCTGAGCTACATTCCCGTAGTTGAACGCCTATCTCAGGCAACTGAAGAGCGACACAGTGCTTACACAGTTGTTCAAAAGACCTTCAGGTGCATATTCCTGCTTACAACTAAAGATTCTCTTCCAGAATCATCAGTTGCAGATCTCTTGGCTGCTTACTTAAATGATCTGGCAGAAGACTGCTACAGGTACGCTGAATTTGAATAATTTCGTTGCTTTCCTATTTTTCTCCATCAACTTGTCTAAAGACCCTAAGGGAAGTGATGAAGTATCTGACTGCTCATCCTTTGACTACAAGTACATTTCCTGCCCATTGGTGTTTCAGTCTGTGAGGCTGAATGTTCTTTTTCACGCATGGGTAGGATTAAGAACTGTATGAGGTCAAGCCTCTCAGACAAAAAGTTGAGCAATCTCTTGTATCCTGTCAACAGAATTTGATCTCACATGATCATTACCTTTCAAAGAAATCGTGAGGAACTTTGCTGCACAAAAGTCAAGATTTTATTTCTTTCTGTATTTTGATTGTATTGGCAATAATTTGCAAGCCATTGTAAGTAATTCCTATAAAAATCTGAGTTGCGATGAATAAAGCTGTTATCAGATATGTTAAGTCTATTTATTTTTTTTCAGACATAGTGTTAGACTAGAGCATAACAAGCAGATTAAATGCCCCAAGAAAAGAAACCCCAGGCTTAATTTTCTAAGACTTCCAAAATTTTTATTATTATGGATAGGCCTACAGAAGTTTGCAGATTTATTGTCGGTATGCTTAGTGTACACTACTGTATGTTTGGTCCAGTACAACATCTGTAGTTGTATTATGTACACATGCCATGATGTAATCGCTTTGACACTTAATTTCATTTGGTTTTTATCTTAAGCATGGACATATTTTGTGCTGTGTAATTTATGTACTTTCATATAGTATTTGTAAATGAGGCCCTCCTCTAGAGCCCTTGGTGTAGGGCTTCCCCTAACCTTAACCAGGCCCTGCAAGTATATACATTGCTTGTATACCTGCACGGCCTCTCTACACTCTAAGTTGTCAAAATACATGGGTTTTTTTTTTAGTTTACCAAATTTATTGACAAAGCTTGGAGTACAGTTTGCCTATTCTGAGTAATTCAGTCAGGTCTTGACACTGAGGGTGGTATCACTTCTCACTGCCACGCAGGACAGAGGTTCATACACAAAGAAATACACCATATTCATTAGCAGTATATATAGGTCAGATTCATGTGGGTGATGTCACTGTTCACTGCCATGCAGGACAGTGGTTCATATACATTGGACGTCATATTCTAATTGAAGACTAATCAGTGTGGGCTAGCAAATTTTGGATAAACAGCAAGAACGTCCTCAAGCACCCCTGATTCAATGCAGTAATTACTGTTCATAGTTCATGATACAATAAGGCAGGTGGCCTGAAGTCTTTGACAGTGTCACATTCAATAATATAGTGTTCAAGTGTATGCTTTAAAAGTTTATCACAAAGTTTACATGCTGAGTGTTCCGGTATGGGTACAGCGTTACTAACTTGCCAGATGTGTCTGTATCCTAGCTTAATTCTGGCCACAACTATATCACATTATCTAGTTCTGTCCGTATGCTGGCCATACCGGTACCTCTTGTCACAAAATTTGTCAAATTTACTAATGCTACAACTGCCAGGTCTCTGCATTTCTCAGTTCTTCTAGAACAGAGTTCATGATTCTGACTTGAATGTTTTTGAGTACAGCACTGGACAGGCCAAGGTCACGGTCAACATTTTCTTTCTTACATGCCTCATTGGCGAGTCTATCCGTTCAGTCATGATACCTAATTCCAACATGGGACGGAATCCACACAAATTCGATACGAGAGTTGTTCTCATTGGCAGTTATCACATTTCTTTTAATATCACATACAACTTTAGACATAGAACCTGACGGGCTGTTCATTGATTTCAAAGCACTTTGAGAGTCACAGAATATCACCCCACCTCCATTTTCTTTAAGGTAGTCTGTAGCTAAGCAGATTCCAGTTAGTTCAGTTTGTGTTGTGCTGGCCCAGTTGCTCAGCCTTTGCTTGTTTCACACGATCATCTCTTTTTCTTTATATATTACAATTGCACAGCCTGTTCTACCTGTGTTTGTCTGCACAGAACCACCAGTAAAAGCATAACATTCACTTGATTTAATACTCTCTAAGTGTCTGTTAATAGTTTCTAGTGTGACACATCTCATCACATCGATGTTTAACATTTGCTTACTACCAACAGGAGTGTAATTAATAGGAACTGATATATCCAGCCAAGGAGGAATGGCATTAATGGGTTCGTCTGGGGTGATTGGAACATTCAGTTTCAAGAGATCTGCAACACTCTTCTGAAGCCACGCCCCAAAGAGAGTCTTTTGTGGAAGGTTAGCGAGATAGTCGGGATTACTGAGATAGAACATCGACTCAGTTTGAGGTGTAGCTTAGGGACCATTGTTCTTCAAAACTCTGACACAAAACATGCTGAATCATTAGTAATTTATATGACGATGTTACTGTTTAGTCGGCAATCAAACCTTATTAATTCAGACCTTATTGAACTTTACTCTTTCATTCTTTTTTAAATAGGAAGTAAGATGATAATGAATTTGGACCCGATTTTATTGTTCAAGTTCAGTAGGTATGTCATTATTTTTAGTGAGAAATGAAATACATTGGTTTAAGTTTTATTGTTTTATTATACAATATACGTTCTAATTCAAGTCTGAAATAATATATTTATTTGGATTATATTTTATTTTCAAGAGATATTTTATTCCCGTATTAGTTAGCAATAAAATATCATTGACTGGATGTAATATTTCATTCAGGTTTAAGTCGACAATATCATTGGTCAGTACAGGTGTCATGAGGTTAGTAAACTGTACAGCAGTTATCGATTTTTAGGGAGTCTAATTTTCTTATATACAAAGTTAGTTTCATACCCGTTGCTCCAGTTTGACCTCCACTATAACACTGTACCAGACTAGTAAACTGTGTGAGACAGGTAGACTTTTATGTAAACTTTACATAGGCCAGGTAGACTGTAAACTTTGCGTAAGCCAGATAGACTTTAAGGAATTCAGCTTGTCTTTGTAAATTATGTAAATCGAGTACCCTTTGTAAACCAAATTAAATTCATGTTGACTGTGAACTTATAATGTTAACCAAGTAGATGTTTGTAATGTTTACCGAGAGGTAAAGCCTTGCTGTATATATATATATATATATATATATATATATATATATATATATATATATATATATATATATATATATATATATATATATATATATATATATATATATATATATATATATATATATATATATCTCTCCTTATAGCAGGTGCAGAGGGAATTTTCAATCGCCATGCTTATTAGCGCCTTTCTGCTGTCACCTAGACAACATTACAGAATGCTGAAGTGTGTATCTTATAATCCAATAGAACTGGCAGGGGGGGGGGGGTAATCTTGTTGGTTATTTGTGAAATAAGGTAAAAAATACAATAATTCACTTGGGTTAAGGAGGTATCCGTCGATTTCCGAAAGGGTTCCGTTACCCAGAAAAGAATATTCGTTAATCGATTTTAATAAACCTGAAGGATGCTGTATTATATACAGACATCACCAACGCAGGTGAATTTTAGTTTCAAGATCATTTTGGTTCACAGTTAACATATGATAATTCTTGTGGTTCTCAGGTCCATAAACACGTCTCTTGTACACATATATGGCACCTTTAAAAGAGTATCGTGACACCATTCATATCCCCTCTTAAAACTGAGGTTTAAAATAGATCAAAACTCCTTAAATTCCCTGAACTTAGATATTTCATGTCATTGTTACTGGTCAGCTCTAAAACCCACTACCTTACCCCCGAACTAGTGTTGTTGATGTTAATTATTACTGCGCTTCAACGAATAAGGTCTTTTAAGCGCGTAACAAGGCTAGTAATAAATACACCAGTGAGTCCATCTACAGTTGAAAATTATGAGAGAAAACGGGGTCCTGGTTTTTATGTATACTCTATTACAATGCTTATATCACATATGACTTCTTTATTTACATATTATAAAAAAGCAAAAGAAAGTAAAGATACAAGAATTTTAGCGGCGTTGTTTGGAAAAATATTGGTATTTTCCTTCCCGGGGAAATTGACAAGACCAAAATCTCCCAAGTCAATTAGGAGTCTGGCGGGTGCAGGGGTTCAGTCGCTGGTGGTTTTAATTGACCTGACCCACACCAGGAACCCGGGTTGTCAATTTTCAGTACACGCTCACGAATGACATAGTTTTATCATCCTTTGCTGACTATAAGTAGTTTACATACCAGTGTTATCCTCTTCTGCTGGAAATAAGTAGATTACGTACCAATGTTATCGTCAACTGCTGGCCATAAGTAGTTTATATACCAGTGTTATCCTCTACTGCTGGTCATAAGTAGTTTACATACTCATCAAGAACACAGGAAGTTTTGTGCAGTTATAAACTATTACATAGTAATTATATATCGCTTGTGAGTGACACTGACAAGTTTAGAGTGGTACAGTCTTGAGTTTACAGTGCAGGATGGCGCTCCTATCATTAATGAAGGCCCTCATATTAACTGGTATTGTAGTGTAAATACGTATAATGATTTAATGAGTTACTTAAGCACAGAGTTACTCTGTCGAGGTGAGTAATGATGTCTTAATAAAAATGTCTCAGAGATTTAAATTCACATTGGACATACAACCTTAAACAATATTAGAAAGATTAAAGTTAAAACGCGTAAAAAATGCCCTGACATTAAAATAAGAAAACTGGTATTACCCGAATTTCCTCCCAGATTTTTTTTCTTGTATAAATTTAACCAGTATTACATTCAAGCAACACACGTTGGCATTAAATTTTTATACCGAATACACTAAGACTAAGAAACTATTTACATATTATTTCGTACAAACTCAACTACATAACAACATTAATGATACCTATATCTAATAACAATGACTACTATTTATTCTCTGCACTACAAAATTAGACAATTTTGGCGCAAAGAGTGCAAGCAGGGCGAGGAGAGCAGTGAATCCTGCGCCTGGGCGAGGGGTGAAGGCGTCGCCACTGTAGTAAGGGCAGTAGGGACACTGGTGCGAACCACACACCTCACAGATATCCAGAGCTGCCAGGGACGTCGTGTTGAGAATCATCGACTCGAAGTGCTCTGTGGGCAACAGGGACCAGGATGAAGGTGTTGGCCGATGTGGCATGGGTAATGTTGTAAGGGGCAGACGGTAATAGGGAAGTAAATTAAACGGGTGCGGAGGTTGATTCACAGGAAGATAAACAGATTATTTTTAGTGGAAACGGTATGGTAGAAGAGGTTTTTTTTTCAGAAAGATTTGAAGGGGACGGTAGGTAATGAAATAATAAGCTGCAAAAGGGTGTTTGCAGTAAGAGAATGGTAACAATGCCGGAAATACCAGTAAATGGTAAGATTAATACTGATAATGTTAGCAATTAATTCTAATGATAGAACTGTATCAGTAATAATAAATAGACGAAGGATCACCTGAAGAATAGGCACCCTAGCTTATTTTACATGAAGACTATAATCACCATAAGGGTAACCTAACCTAACTTAACCTAAACCCCAGGTAGCGTTAGGGTGGTTAATCTTCAGGTAAAACAGGCTGGGTGCCTAATATTCACATGATTCTAATAATAATAATAAAGGAATACTGTAATAATAATTATAGTGGTGAATCAAGATAATGATACTAAAAATAGTAAAAATGATAAATTACTGTAATACCGAAACTAATAATAAAAGGCATTAATAAATTTGCATAAATAAAATTACTACTGCTAATAATAATAAATAAAAATAATAAGACTAAAAGATATAAATATAAATAATGAATAAATAATAAAAAAATAAATGAATGGTTGGAGATTTTGATGAAAATAGTATTAGGGTAGTGGAGAGGAGCGACCTATTATTGCGGACAAGTTAAGAGTAAGCTGTTGGAGGGGAGGGGAGGGGGGGGGGGTGGGGACTTGCAGCTCAGCACTATCACTTAAGCCGCTTAGGGCAGCTCTTTGTTCTTTCCTTCTTGTGTGGATCCATTTTTCATTATTATTTGTTTCTCTCTCTTAGTTTTATTTATATTACCGAATGATAATAATGTATATATAATTAACACTATTATTATTATTATTGGTGGTGGTAGCTTTGTATACCTAGCTATGCGATTGATGTTCATTAATATCAGATAATATAATTAGACGTAACATAATATAGAGGGTGTACGTATTTTTATTTTAGTAAAGGAAAGGTGAACACGACCTGATGACGTAGCCTTGTTAGACTACAAACATTCTTAACATTCTTAATAGGTTTACATGCCTTAATTACCTGCCCTTAATAACTACCCTAATTAATTTGATGGGAAGGGTAAGATTACATGTAATAAGATTTTGAATGAATATAATGATGATGATGATGATGATGGAACAGTTTGTATTGTGAAGAGAAGCGCCTGTGAACGAGACGACACAGTATTATTATGAACAGTGAACGAGACACTAGTGAACGAGACGACACAATATTATTATGAACAACTGTGAACGAGACGACACAGTATTATTATGAACAGTGAACGAGACGACACAGTATTATTATGAACACCTGTGAACGAGACGACACAGTATTATTTATGAACGAGACGAACAGTATTATTATGAACGAGACACTAGTGAACGAGACGACACAATATTATTATGAACAACTGTGAACGAGACGACACAGTATTATTATTGAACGAGACACTAGTGAACGAGACGACACAATATTATTATGAACATTGACACGGTATTAATATGAACAGTGAACAGAGACACTGGTGAACAGACGACCAATATTATTACTGTGACGACACAGTATTATTATGAACAGTGAACGAGAACTAGTAGACGAGACGACGCAATATTTATGAACAACTGTGAAAGACGATACAGTATTGTGCAACAGTGAACGAGACGACACAGTATTATTATGAACAGTGAACGAGACGACACAGTATTATTATGAACAGTGAACGAGACGACACAGTATTATTATGATCAGTGAACGAGACGACACAGTATTATTATGATCAGTGAACGAGACGACACAGTATTATTATGAACAGTGAACGAGACGACACAGTATTATTATGATCAGTGAACGAGACGACACAGTATTATTATGAACAGTGAACGAGACGACACAGTATTATTATGAACAGTGAACGAGACGACACAGTATTATTATGAACAGTGAACGAGACGACACAGTATTATTATGATCAGTGAACGAGACGACACAGTATTATTATGAACAGTGAACGAGACGACACAGTATTATTATGAACAACTGTGAACGAAGATTAGACACCACAGCTTATTTCACCGGAAGATTAGAGGGGTGTCTAATCGGCAGGCGAAATAAGCTGGTTGTCTAATGATCAAACGGAATAAGCTGGGTGTCTAATGTTCGGGTAAAATAAGCTGGGGTGTCTAGTCGTCAGGTGAAATAAGCTGGAGTGTCTTATATTCAGGTGAAATAAGCTGGTTGTGAAATCTAAAGGTGAAATAAGCTGCAGCTGGGTTACAGACCGGTACATAACATATAGATTCTCTGAGTGGTTGTGTTGGTGGTGCTTCACACATCCGTCGGTTGGTGATAACTAGTGTATTCAGCCTTCAGGGTCTGGTGTTGTAAGTTTCTTTCATTTAAATTTTCATCTTGTAAACTTAAATAACTTACCAAGTGACAGGTACTTTGGAAAGGAATTTGGTCTCATTTCTGTCAAGATTATAGCAAAGGCGGTGAGCGTGTTTGTATTCATGTAGGTGTAAATAATTCTGTTTAATTTAGAAAGCTTGGGAATGAAGGTGAGGTGGTAAACCGTGTGTGTCGCCCTCAGCGAGGCGACGAGTGAGTAGACCTAATTACTGGAGGTTACTTTTTTAACTACCACGAAGGAAAAGGGGCTTTGGGATACTTACCAGGGCAACCAAGAAACAAAAGTTTGACATCTTATCTACCTAAAGTCATATGTAATATATTATTCGTAACAATAACACCAAGTCAATCATGAACGATCGGATATGTGTACAGCACAGTGTTATCATTGGGTACGCGAGTTACCTCCAATGTTTGCTGTGGGTCGAGATGGCAGGAGCATTGCTTATTACTGAATATATCACGAAGGAAATGAGGAATTTAATTTTGAGTTTTGAATATACGGTGGAACGGAATTCAAATTTCTTCCATTCAGCAGTGGTTAAAAAAATAAATAAAAAATAATATATATATATATATATATGTGTGCAAATAGGTGCGCGTGATCCAGGTATATGTTGATAATACAAGGAAAGATGTGAATTACACAGCGCTTGGGAACTTCGTGTTTCTTCTTTTCCTTGTGGTTATCAGCATATATATATATATATATATATATATATATATATAGAGAGAGAGAGAGAGAGAGAGAGAGAGAGGTTACAATAAGGGAACCATTGCAGACAGGACGCAATATGCTGGCAGCACAGGGTTATAATATCTGCCAAAGATAATGTTCTCAACATTAACATATAAATATAGAGTATGAGGGGATGGATGTTGATGTACAAACACTCTTAAGGTATTTATGATACAGTAGGAGTACAACACACAACCACAATAGGTATGTACAGTACAATAGATATGCATAATACAGTATAGAAGGAACACAACACTCGCAAATATCCTAAGGGTCTCCTGTACATATTTTTGCGTTACAAAGAATTATGAGAGATTATCCTCTGTGCAACCCCCCCCCCCCCATCCATTTCATAGTGGGAGAAGTGAAGATAAAATAAGAGGGATTGAGGTAGATATATTTCAGGGGATAGTGTGTGTTAATATTAAACGATAAGAAATATAGTTTAATTCACCAAGAAATGTAATTTAAAAAGAGATGTATTGTAGAGAGACTGAAAGAGAAGAATAGGGAGAAAAGGGAAAATTAAGAGCGAGAGAGAGAAAAAAATAAGTGGGAGTGAGAGAAATGAAAATGAAAGTGAGAGAAAGAGTTACAGTAGATACTGACCAGGCGCGAACATTTCAAAGATTTTGGCGTAGCGCACAGCGGTGTGGTTGGCTGCCGGGAAGTGGCGGATGTGGCGGTAGGTGAAACATCGTGGCCGGTCACTTGGGATCTGTGGCACATCAAAACACAACTTACTTGACACCTGCACTGTATGTGCACTTGTTATTTTCACACACACACACACACACACACATACATATATATATATATATATATATATATATATATATATATATATATATATATATATATATATATATATATATATATATATATATATATATATATATATATATATATATATATATATATATATATATATATATATATATATATATATATATATATATATATATATATATATGAAACACTTGTTATATGACACCGATACTGTTCTATAGATATGGCACCACACATCAATCTTGTTATTTAGACACCTTTACTATATAAATGAAACACTTGTTATTTGACACCTCCACTGTACAAATGCCACTGCCAGTACAACACGAGTTATATGACAAAGGCGTGTTATACACAGTGCCACACTCACATAGTCTAACTGCCACCATATTATGGAGGGGGTAGACTTGGCATCAAACATCATGGGGAAGTCCCCAGCCTGAGCTTTCCTGACGAACTTGTTAGCGTCAGGTTGGTAGAGGAGGTAACCCGTCGCCACCTCCACCTCCACGAGGGCTGCGTGGCTCGTCTCTGATATATCTACCGCCGTCCACCTGAGGAGAAGGAGAGTGTTGACGATGGTGCGGGTAATGGCCAATGTGGAAGACCTTAATAGGGGATATATTTTTATATTATCAGTACACACCTGATACACTGTCAGTACACACCTGGTATTCTCAATGCACACCTGGTACTCTCAGTACGCTCCTGGTACATTCAGTACACACCTGGTATATTCAGTACACACCTGGAACACACAGTTCACACCTGGTACACTCAGTACACACCTGGTACACTCAGTACACACCTGGTACACACAGTACACACCTGGTACACTCAGTACACACCTGGTACACACAGTACATACCTGGTACACTCCATACACACCTGGTACACTCAGTACACACCTGGTACACACTGTGGTATCAATGAAGGTCTTGTTACGAAAGCTTGGGTAGGTCTCGGTCACGTTGAGGTCAAAGTACTTCCTGGCCGGTTTCTTCATGAAGCGGTCCAAGTCAACCCCCCAGCTGACCTCTAGTTGAGCCACGGCCTGACCTGACCCCTTCGCCACCATGTACACATGGCCCCATGGTCGGGGAACCTGTTTGGGTAAAGGTGAACTTATGGGAACAAATGAATTACTATCAAATTCAATGACTCATATGTATTACTATTCCCGTGTGTGTGTGTATCCCGGTCATAAGTAAGCGTTATATTTTGGGTGTTTTTTGCCTGTGTTCTGTCTTTGGTGACAGCAGACCCTAGACTATTGGGGGTAAGTTTATTATTATTATTATTTGTAGTAGTAGTAGTAGTGGTAGTAGTAGTAGTAGTAATAGTAGTAATACCGTAGTGTAAATATTATGAGACTGACCTGGAGAGTGTGGAGGGCGGAGACAGAGTGGTTTGTGATAGGGATGGAGTGGATGTCTCCCGGGCTGGAGGTAGCTTCAAGGTTCACCCTCATGTTGGTTACGTCTCTCAGCCTCGCCCGGTAACTGTACTCGGCCAGGGCGCGCATGGCCACTACTGTGTCCTGGGGAAGACAACACACATCTTGGTTTGGGGGTGATGGTGTAGTGGTGGACTCACTTCACTATGGGGGTGATGGTGTAGTGGTGGACTCACTTCACTATGGGGGTGATGGTGTAGTGGTGGACTCACTTCACTATCACACCATTATGGCGACTTAAAGTGATGGTGAGGTGAATGTGTGATGGTGTCTTCTCTTCACCCTAATCATGTCCACCTCCATCATGACACTGGTAATGTGGGGGTGACGTTGTGCTGTTTTTCTCACATTCACTTCCATCACAACCTCACTTCTCTCGCCAACGTAATAACTCGCAGTTTTTCCCAGCATGTTGGAAGATAGACTAATAATCATAATAACAATAAAAACATTATTATTAGTAGTATTTTTAAGTAATTGTGTAACTATAGTTTATTAGGTGTCAAGGAGAAAACATACAACCCTGATAAGTTGTAACAGCCTTCGTGTTCACTAATGATGATATAATTATTTTACGCAGCCTTATTATACTAATTAATGTCCGCGGTGGTGCACAAATGGGAGCCGAGATACCGAAAGTGGGTAACATTAGAGAGGGTAGTACCGTTAACCTGGTGGATGGTTGGAGGTGTGGCCGAACCAGGGGCGGCTGAAAGAGAATCTGAGTCTTACTTACATTCACCTCAAGGCCGAAGTGTGCATATGCATCTGTGTTGGTGTTCAGGATCTCCTATAAGTCGCGTTTAGTGTGGACAACGAGGTTGAGGTCGTCTGCATACTGAAGTTCAGCGATAAAAGTGGCTGACACCTTTGTTCCTGCCTGGAGTCGTCTTATGTTGAAAAGTCTCTTTATGCGGTACTGGATGTCCACCTCGTAGGCTAAATTGGCACTGGCATGAGAAAGAAAGGAAGTCACGAAAATATACAAGAAAGTTTGTGCCAGTACACATCGTGGATTGCCTCACAATGGCGATAAATCTTGGTGGGCAGGCAAAACGACTGAGGGTCCGCCAGAGAGCTTCCCTGCTGACCGAGTCGAAGGCCTTGGTAAGGTCGATGAAGGCCGTGTACAAGTCACGACGCTATTCTCTGCACCTTTCCTGCATGTAGTGGGCAGCAAAGATCTAGTCATTGGTCCCATGTGATGGTCTAAAGCCACACTAAGATTCTGGGAGGAAGTTTTTCGCCTCTGGAAGAAGTCTGCTTAGGAGGACTTGGGCGACAATCTTGCCAGCTACAGACAGCATCGAGATCCCGAGGTAGGTTCCACAGTCTGACCGGTCTCCCTTGAAATTATAAATATTGACGACGGAGTCGGCTGGTAAGCAGAGGTCCTCCAGTTTTATATACCTTGGCTGGGATTCCATCAAGCCCTGTGGCTTTGTTATTTTTCATCTGCATGATGGGAGTAGCTTCCTCATCATGGGATAGAGGATAGCCGAGGTGGGTCAGCTCTGGGTACTGAAGGACCTGCTGGGTAGTCAGGACATCCACATCGGTGTTTTGATGCCCACGGAGGTGGGCCAGGCCATGAGTAGTTGGGTCATACATTACTTTGGTATAATTGAAAAGTTCGCGCATTTTGTGTTAATTTGAAATTATTTGCATTTCACACACTTTACTTTTCCATCATATGTCCTTTACATCCCGAAGTTTGCGCTGGGCCATCCCTTTCTTCTGACGGAAGGTATCAGCTTTGGTCCGAGACTGAGGGCTGTTCTGTCAGTCAGTGAGGCTGAGGGCAGCACGTTTTACCATTGACGAGTTATTTTTTTCAAACCAATGCTGGTGTTTTCTTTCGATCTGGCCGGCCGAGGATCTCGCTGCAGGTTTTTGTAATGCCAGCATTGAGGATACCACAATCGGCACTCGTATTTAGATTGTTTGTTGTTGGGTTGTTTATTAGCCCATCGTCGAGCTGCTCTCTGAAAGCATGTTCTGCCACTTGATCCCTCCCAGTCTCTTGGTGTTAAAACCTCTATTGGGGGCTTGTTGCCTTCGCCGTCTTTGCTCTGACGAGCCGATGATCTGTATCACACTGGTCCGAGCCACTCATGGCTCTGGTGATGAGGACATCTTGGCGATCTCTTTCTCTGACAATGATGTAGTTAATGAGAATTCGAGGTTTGGATCGTGGGTGTTGCCAAGAGCCCTTGAAATTGTCGGCCTGTCTAAACAAGGTGTTGGTGATAGTGAGGTTGTGTTCAACACACTTTCTGAGGAGGAGTAGGCCGTTGGGATTACACTTGCCCACTCTGTTTCTCCCTGTGGTTCCCTGCAATATGTCAACATCTCTGCTAACTTTGGTATTGAAGTCACCTAGGAGCACAACCTTATTTTCTCTAGGGATAGAGGCTAGCACTTTGTCAAGGTCCGCGCAAACGGCCGCCTTCATGCCATCCTCTGCCTCCAGTGTTGTCTTTTGCATGCACTCACGAAGAAGGCATGATGTGAGTGATTCAGTGGGACTTAGAGCGTCATGAGGCACTCCTTGATCCCAACAGGCATTTCAGATAGCTCTGTAGGATGGATTGGGGAGTGGCAAAGGGCGCTCATTTGTGTCAGTATCCAGAAGGGTCCTGACATTCAATGTAACGACCATAAGAGGCTGTATAATTTGTTTTTGCTTTGATCTGGGATTATGCTTTCGACCGCATTGGGATGACGTTACTGGGTGTCGTTGCCCAGTCAGGTTGTTTTTTAGGCAAGCTATGTTTAGGGCACCTTTTATAGCCCACTCATGTGTGGTGAACAGAGTGGCTCCTGGAAACTACTCCTCAGTCGCACCGACAGGACCGGATTGTAAGGGTGCCTGGATCCCAGTGCATAAACGACCATCTTATCTATGCCGCCCATGTGCAGAGTTGTGACTGGAGACTCCCGGTAGCCATCCCTACCTGTCCCCGTCACCACTCGTCTGTCGCCATAGGACTTTCCGCCTATTTCGCCGTTAGGGTCTTACTGGAGCTCTGTAAGCATGTCTGCTGATGCGGGGCCCCATCGTAGATTTTTCGTTTGGGATCTACTCCCGTAGCCTCATACCTAACAAGGCTAATCCACAGGGCAGTGGGGCAGTGCAATGGTTGGTAGGCGCCAGGGCGTGTCCGCATGCTGGTGGGCCTATGCCTCGTGCCTCTGGGGCTCACTGATGTTCCGAGATCCCCTGCTGGTCTAGCCTGGGGCCGAGAGGTACCCAGTTACCGTGTGTTGCCACGAGGAGTAACAGCAGGAGTCTTGATGGTGAAGAGGCTCTGTATTGGCAGGGGACGACCTACGTAAGGTTATTTCCCTGTTCACCACGAGGGCTGGCCAACGGCAGTAGCTGAAAGCGAGAGGAAACAAGCAGTACCTTCATCTTAACACTAACATAATGCTGCCACACTAGGTGCATTACACTACCCTGTCTCGAAAAGCAAGCGCGCGCACACACACACAAAAAATAGATGTCAGAAACACTGATATTACGGTTATTTATATCTCATGGAGGAGTCTTATGTTGATCATCTTCCCCCGCCTCCCTATCTCCCCTCACCTTCCTATCTCCTCTCACCTCTCTGTCTTCCCCATCTCCCAATATCCCCCTACTCTCTCCCTATCTCCACTCACCCCCTTCCTGCCCCCACTCCTTTCTTTCCTCCACCTTTCACCACTCAATCCACTACCTTCTTCCTCCACTCTTCACATCCCCACCCACTCTTTTCTTCACTTTAACCCCCCTCCCTGCCTCCACCTACTCCCTCCCCACACCCCCTCCATCCCCTCCCTTCACTCACCCCCCTCCCTCCCTCCCTTCCCTCACCCCTATCTTCCTTCCCTCCTCTCTCTACATACCCCTCACTCCTCAAGGCGACTCTAGGGAGGGGGGTCATTCGTCTGTATACAGTCAGTAGAAATGTAATCTCAAATCTCTCTCTCTCTCTCTCTCTCTCTCTCTCTCTCTCTCTCTCTCTCTCTCTCTTATCTTATGTATATGAGGGCTGTCACTAGTCACACGTGCACAGACAGTTGTTTTAGCTACTGTACTTGTATCGTAACCTTAGTTTAGCGGGTTACATCTTGTAATCTAGTGATCTTGTCACCTGGAGAGGAGAGTGAAGGATGGGAGTGTGTGTGTAACGGGCAGAGAGAGAGAGAGAGAGAGAGAGAGAGAGACACGTACTGTATACCTCACCAGGGAAAACAAAGGATTACAGAAATACATAATGTTAGTCATTCTGCAACCCCTCATACAGTCTGTCTCCCTTTATTTCCATCCCCCTTCTTCTCGCCTCACTCATCACTCTTCTTTTCGCCTCCCGCATCTCCCTTCTCCACGCCTTCCCTTCTCCATCCCCCTTCTCACCTCCCTCTCCCCTTCTCCCCACCTCCCCTCATCCCCCTTCTCCCAGCCTCCCGCATCCCCCTTCTCTCAGCCTCCCGCAACCCCCTTCTTCCCACCTCCCACATCCACCCTTCCCCTGGTGCTTCGTCATTCCAACCTCAGGTGTATCGGCTTCACACAGTGTGGCTGGCAGCGGGACACAACTGTTGTCTAGGATTGTACTTGAACACGTCAACCGTATATGAAACCTCGATTCTTAGTGTGGCACATGTGAACCACCAAGGTGAACCCAGGAAGTAATACTAACTAATTCACCACCCTCGTCATCGCCACCTCCTGCCACCGGCAGTCCCCCACCCACCTCGTGCAGTCCGCCACTACAACAAAATTCAGCCCATAAGAGCCCGCACTGATAGATATAAGAATAGCACCATCCCATCTATTGTTAAAATAATAAACAACTCATTTATATACTGTGCAGCCCTGTAAATGTATGCAATGCATATTATATCATGTCTAAATCAAATGTAAGTATATTTTCAGCCAGCGGCTGCAACTTAATTAATAAACCGTTTATTATTATTATTATTATTATTATTATTATTATTATTATTATTATTATTATTATTATTTTACATAAATCATAGCCAATCTGTTTCACATTACTGAGATTGGTTTTGTTTTTAAAAACTGGCCTGACTTCCAGGAATCTTTCTGTTTCCCGATGAAATTAGTTTTCCACGTTATGCTTTTGTTTCTCTTATTCTATGGGATAATCCGGACTATTCATCAGTTGAATTCATATTTAATCTTGTCACAACCTAACCTAACCTAATCTAACCATTCTTGAAGCTGTGTCAACACTTTAATAAAAAGCTCTTACAGCATTTAAAGGATATTCTATAATTTATTTGTGCGTATTACAATAAATATTGGATTTCCTGAAGAATAGTCATCTCAGCTTATTTCACCTGAAGTTTAACCACCCTAACGGTAACTTAACCTAACTACCTTAACGGCCCGATCTTAACCTAACCTAACCCACCCCAACAGTGCTATCCTACCTTAACGTAACCTACCCTAACAGTACTATCCTAACCTAACCTACCCTAACAGTGTCAGCCTAGACTAACATAACCTAACCCTCCAGATAGCGTTAGGGTGATGACTCCTCAGGTGGAATTAGTTGGGATGTTTATCTTGGACTGTTAACATATTTCAAGGCGACGTTGTTATGGTGACCCCGGTGATGGATGGTGATATTAAAATGTCAACTATTGTAAAAAATCAAAATACTTCTCAGTAAAGAAAATTTTTCATTAGGTATTAACATAGGTCAGATATATAAAGTGTTAGGTCTTAGCATCAGTTTTTCGTGTGTAATATAATTATCCAGTTGTCTTTAAACCTAACCTAACCTAACCTAACCTAATCTAATCTAACCTAACCTAACCTAACCTAACCCAACCCCATGTGAACTAGTCCATAGAGCAAGGTATCATAATGTTCCCGACTGCAACCTGTTTTAAACCCTTGATTATGATGTTTTAGTCTTAACTCTCTGAAGACGATGTCATATTACCTTCAGTATAACAGTTGTGTAGCTAAAGGTTTGTCATAGTTGTCAAAGGGTTAAATCATCTCACTCAACGGGTTAAATCATCGTACTCAAGGGGTTAAAGCATCGTACTCAAAGGGTTATATAATAGTACTTAGGACTAAATCATCGTAATCAAAGGGTTAAATCATCGTACTCAAAGGGTTAAATTATCGCATTCAAATGATGAAATCAGTTATACTCAGAAGACTAAATCATCGTACTCAAAATGGGTTAAATTATAGTACTTAAAGGGTTAAATCATCATACTCAAAGGGATATATAATCGTACCCAGAAAGGCTTAAATCATAGTATTCAAAGGGTTAAATCAAAATCTACAAAGGTTTAAATTATCATACTCAAAGGGTCTAAATCAACATACTCAAAGGGCTAAATCATAGTACTTAAAGGGTTAAATCATCATACTCAGAGTACTAATTCATCGTACTCAAAAAAGGGTTAAATCATAATACAAAAAGGGATTAAATCATCATAGTCAAAGGGTCATATTACTTAAAGAGGGTTAAAATACAGTACTCAAAGGTGTTTAAACCATCTTACAGTACTCAGAGCTAAACACATCTTCACTGTAACTCTTTTATCACATCTACTGTAATAAAACTCTTACAGAATCACGAAAACAGTATAATCCTCAATAAATACTGATACAATACACTGTACCCACGGTTAGATGTTATGAAGCACAGCAGTTATTGCAGTGAACACATTTCAACACAATGAACCAGTGACAGACAAGCATGACATACCAGGGCAATTTATATAAGAAGCCACCATTAACTACCTTTGAAAATAATAAGATAATCATTAAACATAAGTCAAGGGTAAATTAGATTAGGTTACGTCGGTATAACCTCGGATTTACCTGAAGATTAGATACCTTACCTAACCTAACCCCCATCTCTCTCAGGTAGTGTTAGGTTAGAGTGTTTAATCTCTGCAGGTGAAAAATTTTGCTGGGGTGTTAAAATCTTCAGGTGATGGATGATCTTTCAAGACTTCTTAACACAAAACGTAGTTGAATATTTGGGGAAGGAACCACTCACTCACTCACTCGTAAAACACTATTAGAAAATCAATAAACAACAACAAGAACAACTACTGCTACTACTACTACTAACCAACACCGCCACCATCAGTATCAACTACCACAACAACCTAGTGTACACAGTAGGAGTTAGTTACCACGGAGGCAGCGAAGGCGTGGGTGTGTTCCCTGACGGAGTTAAGCCAGCGCATGATAGACTCGGTCCTCGGCGTCACCCCCTCCTGGATGAGGAACACGAGCAGGGCGTAGCTGGTGGCCTCCACGGCGTACGCGTCCCACTCCTGCGGCTCCTTGGGTAACAGGAACGCTCGCTGGTTGTTCTCCGCCAAGCGTGCGTTGGTAACGATGGGTGCCCGTGACCAGTACATCCGACCGTCTGACGGACAAGTGGGGGTAGAAGGGTATGTGTGTTAGTGAGTGAGGTGAGGTGAGGTGAAGTGAGAGAGAGAGAAAAAAGAAACTATGAAGGGAAACGAGAGAACTGAAATAGACAGGATTAGTGAGGCTCACTGTGTAATTCCGTGAGATCGGTGAGCTGAAATTGTTTTTATGGATGATTTCCATGATTTAGAGTATTATGAAACGAAAACACTGGTGATATTTTTTACCCCCCAGCGTGGCGGTCATCTTGAAAATTTAAGTAAAGAACTCAAAATCTCCTATACAACATTATTTGCAAGTCACTAGGAATCAATTTTATTGTACACTAGTAGGTTTTAATCACATATTCGGGGCAAAATATGGGAAAATAATCGTGATGTTAATTGATTTGTTTGATTACAAGGGTAAAATTAGTATATTGTAGGTAAGCATCAGATTAGATACTTTAATAGCCTCTATTATTATGTCATAACTAACACCCTGATGGTGCTGATCATAATATATATATATATATATATATATATATATATATATATATATATATATATAAAACAATTATAGTAACCTAGAGACCTAAGTCATATACTCAAATAAAAAAATATATACATTTTGTGTTTTGAAATAAACTTTGTTACATAAAATAGACACTTGTGCAGCGGAGAGAGATACTGGTGAGTCAATTTTCCCTGGCCAGCAATGTGTGTGCTGTTTGAAGTACATGAGTGGCGTGCACAGAGTTCCATGAGTAATAAAATACACCAGTGTCAGGTGAACGTACATCAATGACTGCTTCTTCATGTATACAGTACGGTTCTTCAGGTAATCATCATTATCTCCCAAAGCAGAGGTAACATAGACAACAACAGCATCACCCAAATATTTAGTGAGTTGGTCTTTGGTCTTCACATGTTAAAGAGACTTCTTCAGTGATGTAGTCTTAATTGAAGTTGTGTCAGCTATCTGGAATAAGATAGGCTCAATGTCATCATTTCTTTTCTATTTTGTGTTTGGTTTTAGGGAGTCAATCTGCTGAATATCTCTCGAAGTTCATCATAATCACGTCCAAGGTAACAAAACTTCTCTAACAGTTCCGTTTGTTGATGATCTGTGCGATGCTCATTGTATCAACATTGAGTGTTTTTCTGTGTTTCTCATCATCAACTGGTTGAGATTCGATGCAGGTCAGTTGCTCTATATTTTTCGTGAAAGAACTCTTGTCTGCTGGTAGCAAAACGTCACCGTTTGCAGAGAACACGGATCTCGGTATTACTGAAAATTCATAGGAACCAATTGTATGTTCACGGCAAACCAAAATGGCTGCCAAAAATCCAAGGTGGCGGCCCAAAAATAGCACCAGTGTTTTTTTCCCATAATTACCCTACATCATGCAAATTAACCATAAAAAACAATTTCAGCGCACCAGTCTCACGGATGAGGGGTTTGGTAACATAGTGAACTTCACTAGGTGAGATGGAGAGCCGTGGGGTGGAGGTAAATAGGAAGAATGAGGGAGAATAGACGGAAGAAGAAAAATATAAATACGAGAGAGAAAAATAGACAGAAAATATTTATACGTTGAAAACAAGAATTGCAGGGACGGTAAAGGAAAGTCTTTCTGATTATCTCTCCCTTTCAGATCCACCTTCACCCCAGTCAGTCTTCTACCATCAGAGCAAAACGTAATCTCTCACATCTATGATACCAGAGAAAGTTATATTTCTGTGCGTATTGTTTCTTTTGGTAGTCGACGAATCTAGCCTTAACTGCATATAAAAGAGAATGTGATCAGAGGAACAGGGCTTTTGTTGTCAGGATTGTCTGTGATTTAACATGTGTCATGTGACAGCTGGTGTATTATTGTGATTCATGGAAGAGGGAAGACGAGGAAGAAAGAGATTCGAATTTATCTTTTTTCTTTACTGTCTCAGAATAGTTCCAAACTGTTATTTGTATTGTTCCGATCCTCTGTGCGTCATCTTCAAGCCATTATTATTATTATTATTATTATTATTATCATCATTTTGCTACGTTGTACACATTGAAATAAATGTATTTGTTTTAAAGTTGAAGGTATATTATGTTTTGTACCATGAGAGCCGCCCAGCTCTTACAACAATGGCGCAATCGCTCTATCGCACAGACGTAACACAGCCAGATAACACACAGTAAAGGTATTTGGGATATCTGTATGGTTTATTATTAATCTCAGAGACTTAATTCAACCAAGCCGGGATCTGTGTTAACCATAAAGCATGTCGCCAACTGCTTTTTCCCTAATCTGGAATTTGTAGCAGCGAAATATAGTAAAGTTATAACAAACACTTACACTGTTCCTACTTCAGAAACAAATGAAGTATATATATATCTCAGTGGTCCCGTGGGAAGAATGATACAGAGGTGTTGTGGAGTTATTATACCTTGATTCCTGGCATAAGCTTCGAGCATCTTAAGGGCGACTTCTCTCTCAGGGCTGCCCACCAAAGTCAGGGCGTAAGTGGTGATGGCTAAATCGTAGGGGTCCCACAACTGATCCAACTCCCGCTCCAGGAACCTGTAGAAGACGCTGAATGTTATACGAGCGTCGAACAGTTCTACCTTTAGGATGTTTTTCCGGCATAACAAACACACGAACAGGGAATTTATGTGTCTTTTTATGTTACCGATTATGTCTTTAATGCTAGTGTTTACAAAGAGACTCTGTAAACATCAAGGAACACTGTAAACACTAACATCAAGGGTCTCTGTAAACACTAACCTCAAGGGTATCTGTAAACACTAACCTCAAGGGTCTCTGTAAACACTAACCTCAAGGGTCTCTGTAAACACTAACCTCAAGGGTCTCTGTAAACACTAACCTCAAGGGTCTCTGTAAACACTAACCTCAAGGATCTCTGTAAACACTAACCTCAAGGGTCTCTGTAACACTAACCTCAAGGGTCTCTGTAAACACTAACCTCAAGGGTCTCTGTAAACACTAACCTCAAGGGTCTCTGTAAACACTAACCTCAAGGGTCTCTGTAAACACTAACCTCAAAGGTCTCTGTAAACACTAACCTCAAGGGTCTCTGTAAACACTAACCTCAAGGGTCTCTGTAAACACTAACCTCAAGGGTCTCTGTAAACACTAACATCAAGGGTCTCTGTAAACACTAACATCAAGGGTCTCTGTAAACACTAACCTCAAAGGTCTCTGTAAACACTAACCTCAAGGGTCTCTGTAAACACTAACCTCAAAGGTCTCTGTAAACACTAACCTCAAGGGTCTCTGTAAACACTAACATCAAAGGTCTCTGTAAACACTAACCTCAAGGGTCTCTGTAAACACTAACCTCAAAGGCCTCTGTAAACACTAACCTCAAAGGTCTCTGTAAACACTAACATCAAGGGTCTCTGTAAACACTAACCTCAAGGGTCTCTGTAAACACTAACTCAAAGGTCTCTGTAAACACTAACCTCAAGGGTCTCTGTAAACACTAACCTCAAGGGTCTCTGTAAACACTAACCTCAAGGGTCTCTGTAAACACTAACATCAAAGGTCTCTGTAAACACTAACCTCAAGGGTCTCTGTAAACACTAACCTCAAAGGCCTCTGTAAACACTAACCTCAAGGGTCTCTGTAAACACTAACCTCAAAGGCCTCTGTAAACACTAACCTCAAAGGTCTCTGTAAACACTAACCTCAAGGGTCTCTGTAAACACTAACCTCAAGGGTCTCTGTAAACACTAACATCAAAGGTCTCTGTAAACACTAACCTCAAGGGTCTCTGTAAACACTAACCTCAAAGGCCTCTGTAAACACTAACCTCAAGGGTATCTGTAAACACTAACCTCAAGGGTCTCTGTAAACACTAACCTCAAGGGTCTCTGTAAACACTAACCTCAAGGGTCTCTGTAAACACTAACCTCAAGGGTCTCTGTAAACACTAACATCAAACTACATGAAAACATTACACTTGAAAATCTTGTATATAATAAGTATGGTTGTATGATGACTTGGTAGTAAGGAACGAGACGATAAGGGATGAACGTGATGCAGCTGGTAAAGGTCTGCCGTGATACTTCATGTTGCCATGGTGAGTGTGTTGTAACAATGACAGCGGCACGAGTAATAATATCGGGGAACCAGGAACCAACACAACACAAGAGCGTGAGGGGGATAGTGTGGTAGGATGAACGTGAAGGAGCATGGTGTGGTAGGATGAGCATATGTGAGCAAGGAGTGACGTTAGAGATCAAAACATAGCGTGAAGGAGCGTGTCTTACTGGGTGGCGCGTTGTCTAGCGTTGAGGGCCCTGGCGTGGACGTCTCCGTTGAGCGTCGGGGCGGCTTCCAGCAGTACCGCGGTCACCAGCGCCGTCAACGCCACCAACACCGGCTTGTGATGGTCACGCACGCCTCCTCCCCATCCCTGTAACCACGCAATATGTATTGTACACTATAGAGTAAGACAAGGGTGTAGCAATATTGTACTGTCCATACTTGTAATAATAATAATAATAATAATAATAATAATAATAATAATAATAATAATAATATAAATCGTAATAACAATGATTACTTCATTATCGTGGATGGTTAGGTCATTAAGACACATTGTCACGATTTTGTATAGAGTGTGGGAGATGAGTAACCCGACCTCAAGACACTGACCAGGTATACCGGACCACACGCAAACCACACTGGCTAATCATTCCTTCCCTCCTTTTCCCCCTCCCTCCCTCCCTCACTCCCTCCCTTCCCGTTCCCCACATGGAAATCGAAACCGGGACTGCTAACTTACGGGGTGAACATTTAATTAACAGTCCAGGTACGGGTGTAAATAATGTCTCCGGTAAAAAAAGAAAAGAAGAGTTAACATTGACGTGAGCTGTAAGGAGGGAGGGTAAATTACCTTGTCATGTGAGGCTTATTAAACATGTTCGTCAATTTATAACTTTTTTTTCCTTTTACATGATTTCGTATTTTTTGGTTGTGTTCTTCCTGGCTGCTGCAGTATTCATATCTGCCTCTCGTGAACTGGGTGAAAGTGAATTACCCACCTGAGTCAATCCTAACTCACCCAGAGACTCGTTCTTGTTCGCCTGTCTTAATTTTTTTTTAGTACACTACAGTAATACTTTTGTCCTTTTATATTTTTCTCAGTTTCGGAGGATCTAAAGATTAAGACACCGCAGCTTATTTCACCTAACCTAACCTAACCTAACCTAACTATCCCCCCCTTGGTCGCGTTAGGGTGCTTAATAATCAGGTGAAATAAGCTGGGGTGGCTAATGCTCAGGTGATCCCCAGTTTCATTTATCTTACAGCTTTTATCTATTTTCGTACTTGTTAAATTATTAATATATATATATATATATATATATATATATATATATATATATATATAGAGAGAGAGAGAGAGATTGAAATTCCTGTGAATATGAAAAACAAACGTTTTCGAGTAAGTTCATTATTCCAAGAGGCAAAAATGATTCTATAGTCGTTTTAATTTGTTCATGTATCCTTTTATGCGCAGTTTCATCTGGTGCATATATTCATGCTTTTATTTTTATGTTATTTGATTAATCTGCATACACACACACACACAAACACACACACACAACACACACACACACACACACACACACACAAAACACACACAAACACACAAAAAGCACACACACAAAACACACACACACACAAAAAACACAAAAACACACAAAAACACACACACACACACACACACACACACACACAAAACACACACACACACACACACACACACACACACACACACACAACACACACACACACACACAAACACACACACACACACACAAAAAACACACACACACACACACACACACACATACACACTGGAATATGTTACAATAACTATAATTTCCATGTATTTTTTTATTTCTGTCTAACCGTAGACGATCATATAGATACTCATAAGACATAAAATTGAATTATGTAGTAAATTACAAAACTTAACCTAGGCTAACCTCAATTAACCAAAACTACCCTGACCTAGATTGACCTGACTTGACTTGACTTGACCTGACCTGAACTGACCTAATCTAACTTCCTTAAGGTATAATTTGGCTGTATTGTTATGGTAAACGACGCCTTTAATGAAGCAGACCAGACTACCATAAATTAATGAATTACCTGAGAGTTCTAACAACAAATACAGTTACTTATCCGTTTGTCATTTAGCTCAGTCGATGTTTACAGCTTAATGGGCGGTTATCTCTAAGTACATTTTTGTAACTGTTGTTGTGTTACCTGTGAGTTGTAATTTTGGATGCTGCAGAATGATAACTGTTTACGACACGTACCTAAACCCATGTGATAACAGTTACCTTGAGATGCCTTGGATCTGTTGTGATAATGTTATCTTGGAATGAATTACTATAATGAATTACCTTGAAACTTTTTGAGTTACGTTGAATTATTTTGCAGTTCCAGTGAGTTACGCTGATCATATTAGTCACCTTGAAGTTCTAGTGAGTCACCTTGGAGCTTTTGGGTGTTTTCAAGGAGTTATTCTATTTTCCTTCGGAGATACTCTTAAGTTACCTTGAATCTCTAGTGAGTAACCATTAAGCTCAAGTGAGTTACCTTGGAGACTACTCTGATTAACCTTTGAGCTACTCTGAGTTACCTTGAAACCCATCTTGTGGTCGAGGGTTATGTTGTAGAAGATAGTCTCCCGGAAACTGCCGTCTGGTTCCTGGTGGTCAAGGATGAAGGTGGTGGCCGTGTTGACCAGCCGGGGTTCCACGTACACCAGGTTCTCCCAGTCCTCGTGCTGCGCCGCCAGGAGTACGGTCAATACCCACGTCGTCAGCCTATACCAGGGGAAGGGTAGTAGTTGTGTTATGACCCACACACACACACATACTTTAGCCACGACATTAATTTACGGATAATGAAGTGTTTTTAGTAGCAAGAGTACTATTTACAGCCCGAGAAGAGCAATGTACTGTATCTACAAGAAGGACGGGTAGCGCCACCTTACCACACGCTGGGGTTGGAGAAATGCCACATCTTGAAGGAGCCATTGTTGTAGCGGGTGAGGAGGCCTGCCAGTTGGAGGTTGATGAATGCGAAGGCTTTCTTGGCCTTGGACTTATTGAGCTGATTGGTGAGACGCAGATAGTGGAGAGTCCACACTGTGCTGCCCATGTTGAAGGCCAGCCCGTCCGAGCTCTTGAGGATCCTGCCATTGAAGGCCATCGTGTCGTGCACCACCATGTTGCTCATCGTAGGGCCGAACACGTCACCTACAGGAGATGTGAAACTTTTATCTTATGCCTTTTCGTTCAGTCGCGGTAGGTGTGTGAGGTGTAGGTCTGAATAGGATGTTCTGCTTTATTGAGTTTATCAGTCATTTTGTTTTGTGTTGGTGAATTTGTCATAACCAAAGTAGTCATTTTACTGGTCTATTTCGTCGTATTTGTCATCAACGCACTATTGTTATCAAGTTGTTCTGTGTGAGTGTGTGTGTGTGTGTGTGTGTGTGTGTGTGTGTGTGTGTGTGTGTTGTTTACCTGAGAGTGCCAGAGTGGCCCTGGGGGAGCCGTAGACATAGCGCCTGATGATGCTCTTTGTGATCTCCGGGCTCTCGTCCACTGGCAGGTCCAGGAACTCGTACACGGTGGCCCGGTTCTTCAGGTCCAGCAGCACCGACGTGTGTTTCCGCACCTCGGCACCTTCAGTCTGGTGGTCAGGAGAGAGAGAGGGGTGGAGTGAGTCGTCACAGTGTACGTGGGGGAGGGAGGGCTGGCAGAAGCTGGAGACGAATGACTCTATGGCAGTATCGATAGTAATGACGGGGAGATTTATGGCTCAGAGATACTCATCTTAGAGAAAATAAGATATATTTACTTTAGAGAGAGAGAGAGAGAGAGAGAGAGAGAGAGAGAGAGAGAGAGAGACTCACCTGGACTTTGATGTTGACGGACCTGGTGTCGGAGCCAACCTGTGAGCGGGCGTGGACAGTGACAGAAAAGGAGCCTGATTGCCTCACGACCGCTAGGGGCAGCATTACCTCTGTGAAGCGCTCGCCCTCTACCTGTACTGGCCAGAAGGGACACACCGTTATTATTGGCTGTGGTCATGGCGAATAGTTCTTATGGAGGAAGAGGGAGATATTCCTCCGGCGTGGAAATAGTTATTTTTGATGGTACAGTAAGTCGAGGCGAATACAAGAAAATTTCGTTGAGGAATTATTTCCCAGAGGAATTACCTTCGAGACGAACTATTTCCTTGAGGAACATATAACTCCGAGAGGAACTAACTTAGAGAAAAATTGTTTCCTAGAGGAACTCTCTTCGGTGGAACTATGATGATAATAGTGAAATTAATGCTGATATAATAATAATAGTAATAATGACGCAGTTATAATAATAATAATAATAATAATAATAATAATAATAATAATAATAATAATAATAATGGTGTAGTTGTCAAAGGGTACAAGATCATGGCAGGATATTACATTAGTATGGACAGTAATACAGGCTCCGCTATACGCTAGTCATAGATACAGTGCTAAATGAACAAGTGAAATTAGCTTTGAAGTTTCCGTAGAGTTTAACGGCATTAGGTCCTTTAAAGGCCACTTCCCTAGCCACACCTCTTGCGGCGCCATTTGAACGTGTCAGGTTAATGGTGTAGAGAATTTCAGTGTAATTTTGATCCTATTTTGTTTATTGACAGGATATTTTTTTTTGTATGTGTGGGGGAGGGAGGGGTTAAGCCAGCCAGTTAAGGTGTTTTTGTGTCTCCAGTTGCGAGGAAAATTCAACGATGTGAACCTTTGAGAATCCAACCCAGCCCTGCACAAGACAAACAAGGTCACAGTGACGCAAGACAAGGTCACAGTGACACAAAACAAGGTCACGGGCCTCATAGTTACCCTAAACTTAGATGAACAGGACCAGAATTCTCAATGTTTCTCACGTTGAATTATTATTGCCGTACCTGGAGATGTGAGAACGTAACTATGTGGTTGAACTTAGTGAAGACACAAATTGAGAACACGTTGAACATGCCATTAAATGTGTGTGTGTGTGTGTGTGATTCTATGACTGTTAACTGAGATAAGGTGTTGACTGACTGACTTAACTGACTTAAATGTTGACTGATTTGAGATCCGGCGTTGACTCTCTTAACTGCCTAAATGTTGATTGACCTGAGATACAGCGGCGTTGACTGAGTTGACTGACTCTCAGACTGACCCATAGAAGGTGGTGGTGGTCACCGGAGGAGAGACGAGGGCTGTAGTGGCTGACGGTGGCATCGTTCTCTACGTTGATGAAGCGGTAGTCGTCACTCCCCGGCAGCACCAGCATCACCACCACCGTCTGCTGTAGCGAGTTGTACAGGTGGACCCGAACCGAGACCTGGCGGGCAGTGAACATCTGACCTGAGTAACTGGTTATCCGTCTCTTTTTAACACACCATTGTTGTGAGTGAGTGAGTGAGTGCAAGGCATCTCTTTAAAACGCCACTGTAGTGAGTGACTGAGTATCATTTTTTAGTGATGTGAGCATTTATGAGTAAACTTAAGGCTTAGAATGAAAGGGAATATTTTATGAATAACAAAGCGTTTTAGCGGACTCTTTACGGATCAGACAACAGCAGTATCTTGTGATTTAAGTGAGCCATGTAAAGTAATACTCACACATCAGGGACGTGTAGGTGTGGGAAGGTATAATCTGGTGAAATATGTAACTTAAAATATCCTCATCGTCTTTTAGAAATGTGGAGAAGAAAGGTCACAGTTCACATAGCAACCAGCAACCAATCAGCTTTCACGAAATGTAATGGGTACTAAGGTGATAAAAGTGGGTGGACCTTAGTCAGTGGGTGCTATTGTACGCTCTTAGTTTACTATGATTATTTCTGGTGACTTTTTAAATGTTATTTGCACTCAACTGAATTGTTTTTGTCATTTGAAGTTGTGTGTTGTATTGTTAGGAAATTTTATTAGGACAAACTATGAAATTATGTACCATTTTTTTCCTTTTGCTTTGGTAAGAATGTTTGACTGTAAACTGACTGACTGACTGACTAGTGGCGGGACAAAATGTTACATTGACGAGTGCAGAGCTATAGCCAATCTCTGTCAGGGTGAGGCTACTACAAGTGAGGGTGAGAGGTAAAAACACTTGCTCTACCTGGCTAGTGATGATAAATTACCTCCTTAATGAATGGTCTTAATCACCTCTTTCATGAATGGGCAATACTAATTATTAACATTCTGATCAAACACTCAAATAGTAATGAACAATATGAAGGTCAACTCGACGTGTAGATCTCTCATCAAAGACGGTCGGTCATACAAGCTTCCCGGCGATTTTGAAAAGATCGTATGAAAACGGACCCACTTTTTGTGCGTAAAGAATTGAGATGGCTGATCCTCATACTGCGACTTGCTACTCTCTATCTCTCTCTCTTTCCACTCTCTCTTTCTCTCTTTCTCTCTCTCTCTCTATCTCCTCTCTCTATCTTTCTTTTCCATCCCTCTCTCTCCCCCCTCCCTTTCTTTTTCTCCCCTCTGTCTCGCTTTCTCTCCCTTCCTCTCTCTCCCACTATAAGATTGTCACGAGTGTCTCACATATACCTCCCTGCGTCGAGTGACCTTACTGTTACTTACTGACCTGCTCGCCCCTACGGCAGAAGGAGGAGGCTTCTAGCTGCATAAGGAGCGGGGGCGTGGCGTCGTACTTCTGCTCGGGTAAGATGAGGAACCCGTGTTGTGGGTGTGTGACGAAGCCCTCCACTATCCATTGGTCCGGTGAGTTGGGCACTGGCAACTTCACACTTTCGTACCCCTTGTGACCTGGGGGGTAGAGAGAGGTTATTACCCTTTGCGGCCTGGGGAGGGGAAGCAGCAACTAGGAGGCACAACAAGTGGAGGGACGGGGTTAAAAGGTACATTAATAAAGTCTAGGAAAGCTGGACAGGCAAATCCTCTCAGTGAACCATGCAGATAATGGCCAACAAATCTGATTATGGTACTGTATTAGCCATTGGTGGCGTAGATCTAGTATATTTGTGCCGGGACAAAGAGCGTTAAACATTAGCCGGAAAGTAATCACTATTAAGTCAGCGAGGCAAGGCTGGCATAGGGCTATTACGTAACCAGAGATGTTTTGATTTCTAACATGAGTATGAGACTCCAAACACATGTAGATCACTCAAGCACACACCTTGTGAAAATTTAAGTCAAACGAGAAAGTATTATTTATGCTGACTTATTGTTTCGCATTTCCAGTCATTTTTAAAACGCACCGCTCTTGTTTCATTTAACTTTTTTAAGCACTGAAACGAGATAATGAGGAAATGATTCAGCAAGTTTATTTATCGTTTAGTCAAGATGTACCGTTGTTAACCTTAGTAAGTGTAGGCGGGTTATTGTTCAATACCTCAGGGAGTACAGTAGTGATCGTACTGTACCAGCTAAGAGGGAACATGCAAAGCTTACATGTTCCCACCATGTAAAAGTGGTGTTGATGGTATGAAGGGAATCCTGCCGTAAAACTTGCCTCAAATTTGCCTGATGGCGGCGGGGACGGAGGTTAACACGGCTGACTCACGCAAGCATGGAAAATGGCCGTAAAGAGATGATGATGATGATGATGATGAAGTCTGAGATTAGAAGGCAGCTTGTACCCTTCAATAAATAGTTCCATAAAAGAAATTAGTAAGTTTGCAGTTTGAATACAGCAATTATTTATATTGTAATCCGAACTCGGCAATGCCATAGCAAAACACATATCACGAAGCCATTTCTCTATGACCTGCAGGGTAAACAACCTTTTATTATTGTTATGGAGATGAAATTGCTGGTGTCTCAGAGAGGTTTCGTCTGAGGTCATTTCGAAGCTATAATTAAAATATTGTCTGATGGTGATATTGTTTATATTATGTTTTGACATTAACCGTAAAGGGAAAATTATTTTTGTTATCTTTGTAGAAAACATTCAACATTACATTTACAGAAAACAAACCTTACCTGTGTACACAACATTAACCTTACCTGTGTAGACAACATTCAACATTAACCTTACCTGTATAGACAGCATTAATTTTACCTCTACAAAAAAACATTCAACATTACCTCATCAAAATAAAACCCAACAATTATTGGGGGATCCATTTCATTTAGTTGTAGTACAAATGAAATACAAAAGTTTACAGTATACACAAATCACATAGATACAGTAGGAACTTGAATGTATTTTTCACCCCTTTAATTACGGCACTGAAAACTTAGTAATTTACGAAATACACACATTTAATTGACTGACATTAAGTCTGAGCCAGCTGTGTTGCTTATATTGGAGTGCACTAAATATTGGATGTGTAAAAGGTATAGTGTGATCTGACACTATGCAGTTGATTGAGTTGTGTGCTGACAGTATGCAGTTGATTGAGTTGTGTGCTGACAGTATACAGTTGTTTGTGTTGTGTGCTGACAGTATACAGTTGTTTGTGTTGTGTGCTGACAGTATACAGTTGTTTGTGTTGTGTGTTAACAGTATACAGTTGTTTGTGTTGTGTGTTAACAGTATACAGTTGATTGAGTTGTGTGCTGACAGTATACAGTTGTTTGTGTTGTGTGCTGACAGTATACAGTTGTTTGTGTTGTGTGCTGACAGTATACAGTTGTTTGTGTTGTGTGCTGACAGTATACAGTTGTTTGTGTTGTGTGCTGACAGTATACAGTTGTTTGAGTTATGTGCTGACAGTATAGTTGCTTGCGTTGTGTTGTGAGCTGACAGTATACAGTTGTTTGGGTCGTGATGTGAGCTGAGAGTATACAGTTGTTTGAGTTATGTGCTGACAGTATAGTTGCTTGCGTTGTGTTGTGTGCTGACAGTATACAGTTGTTTGGGTCGTGATGTGAGCTGAGAGTATACAATTGTTTGAGTTATGTGCTGACAGTATAGTTGCTTGCGTTGTGTTGTGAGCTGACAGTATACAGTTGTTTGGGTATAGCAGTTGCATCACAGAGTTGTTTGTCTACATACCGAAGTTAGCTTGAGTCCTGCACCAGCTGCCCTCCTTCTGATCAAACAGGTCCTGCCACCAGTTCCTCTGCTTGAGCCGGTACTGCACCTCCACCTCCTCTGTCCACAACACAACAATTCACTTAGTATGCACTCCCTCTATATCTCTTTCTAACTTTGAGTAGTATGGACTGTCTCTTTCTCTCTCAGGGCAGTATGGACACACACACACACTCTCTCTCTCTCTCTCTCTCAGGGCAGTATGGACACAGTATGGACACACACTTCTCTTTCTAGGTAATATGGACTCTCTCTCTCTCTCTCTCTCTCTCTGGTCAATATGGACACTCACTCACTACATCTCTCTCTTTGGGCAATGCAGACACTCTTTCACTTTCTTTCTCCCTCTGGCAAAATTAGCAGTTTAATGGGTGTTGATAATATAGGAAAGTTATCAATTTCGAGTGTGTTAGGGATGTGAAAATGTTGGCAGTTAAGCGATTATTAAAAATGTAGCAAATTCAGCAGTTTTTCGGGTGTTGAAGATGTGAAGATTTAGCAGTTTAGCGGCTGTTGATCATATGACAAATTTGGCAGTTAAGCGGGTGTTGATGATATGGGAGTGTTAGTAGTTTAACGGTTGATGGTATAAAAAAGTTTAGCTTCTTAGCAGTTGTTGATAATGTCAAGAAAATTTATCAGTTTAGCGGTAGTTGTTCATATTACAAAAAAGTTTTCAGGTGTCATGGTAGCGGTAGACGATAAGTAACTTGAGTTAGGTTGTAGAGGAGGTGAAGCAGACCTTACCCTTTGAGAGGTTGATCTTGCCGGTGGCGTAGGTGGCTGGCGGCTGTTTCCCCAACACCGTCAAGCCTGGCAACACGACCCCAGAAATTACCCTTAATGTTATTATCTCAGTGCGACTGGAGACAGATTGTGAACCAGACTGTGATTGGTTGAAAGCTATCTACGTTTACCAATCAAATTTCACTAAATCTGCTGTGTAATTTATTCAAATCTAACTTACTGCAGACAGTTAACCCTATAACTATAAACAGTAAGGTATACATATACTGATCATTCACAGGTAACATATACAGTATATCCCCATCCATGGATCAAAGTATACATAGTCAACAGTGTGAGTGAGGGACTTACAGTTGTGCTCGTCGGCGGCGTTGGTACAGTCCACGTGTCCGTCACACACCTCGTACTGGCGGTAGCAGGAGCCGTCCCCACACTCCAGGAACCCCAGCTGGTGGTCACACTCACCTGCAACACAACACCTGTAAACTCGTACATTCACTCACTCACCTGGAAACTCATGAGCACAGTCACGACTGGAAACGGGAGGTCAACTGGAAACTTTTTGAGCATTGTGCTGGAAACTTGGAGAGCTATTAGGGGACAGGTCTAAATATCCTCGTCAATAGAAGATGTTTGTCGTGAGAAGTCTCCGTCTCACGGTTCTCACGGTCATGGAGAAATATAGGACGAATCATATTTCTTAGAAGTCAGGAAGAAGTCTTGCAATTTCGCTTCTGTCAGTTATAATGATATAAAATCCCTGGTTTGTGTGGCTATGGCGGTCTTATGTCTGAGTTACGTAATATATTATTAAAACAAATATACTCATTGATTAATTTCATTTTCTTCCATACATAGTTAGCACAGCCATTATAAAGTGCCGGAAATGGCTTCAATTTGTCATCAAAAACTTGTTACACTTAATCTCAAGCATAGTCAGTGATCCTGAAAAAAGAAAACAGTGACTGAACTAATTAGTCAAGCCGATAAAAATGGAGTCTGCTACATATAGCAAATGCTCTGAGGATCAGAGCTCAAAAGAAGGAGGAGGAGACTTAGAAAATAATAACAAACCTCTACGAAAAAAAACTGATACAAAAACACAACTTTATATAAAAATTTGTGGCCATTGTGTTGTATAATTTTTATTTTATTTTGAAGATTTCAGCAGTAGCATTAGACAATTTCTTTTACAGTACTTTTAGAACTTCTCATGTTTGATGACTTCTTAACGTAGCTTTAGAGGTTTCCTTCATTTTATGTCATAACGGTTTTATTCATGTGATGTGTACGATACATTTTTGATAACACGAAAATTAAAAATAAGAGAACCAATTTTTACTAACATAGTTTGTGTGATACTATTTTGAAATTTGTTTCCTATTGCTGGAAATGTGATAGGAAGTTGGTAGTTTGTCTAAGGTGTGAAGTATGGCCTCTTGCTGGATTGTTGTTGAATTTTGACAAAAGTGTAATACAGTTCCTTAAATAATACTGAAAATGGATGAAATGGCAGACATAAGTTGACGGTGGAAGGTGGATAAATGATTACACGGTCTCTGTCTTTTTACCAACACATGTAGCAACACCAGTAACAATATCCTCTGATTGGTATACAGAGCTGTAAAGGCGTTACATCTCCTAAAATACATAAAGCCGAATACAGAAACATCTTTGACTTCGAGAAGACAAAGTCTGTTTATTTTCTCTATGAATCCAGACCTCAGAAGCTTTCATCATTCCTTGATTTGAATTTCAAGTGACTGGAACGATTTGTCACGCCTGCCATACCGAGCCATATTAATATTGCGTGTGTAGGGAGTTACCTGTGTGGGGACGGGGAGTTACCTGTGTGAGGGTGGGGAGTTACCTGTGTGATGGCGGGGAGTTACAGTGTGAGGGTGGGGGTTACCTGTGTGAGGGTGGGGAGTTACCTGTGTGAGGTGGGGAGTTACCTGTGTGGGGGCGGGAGTTACTTGTGTGATGGCGGGGAGTTACCAGTGTGAGGGTGGGGAGTTACCTGTGTGAGGTGGGGGAGTTACCTGTGTGAGGGGTGGGAGTTACCTGTGTGGGGACAGGGAGTTATCTGTGTGGGGGCGGGAGTTACTTGTGTGGGAGCTGAGGGGGAGTTACCAGTGTGAGGGTGGGGAGTTACCTGTGGAGGGTGGGGAGTTACCTGTGTGAGGGTGGGGATTACCTGTGTGGGGACAAGGGAGTTACCTGTGTGTGGCGGGGAGTTACCAGTGTGGGGACGGGGAGTTACCTGTGTGGGGCGGGGAGTTACCTGTGTGGGGGCGGGGAGTTACCTGTGGGGGACGGGGAGTTACCTGTGTGGGGACGGGGTTACCTGTGTGATGGCGGGGAGTTACCAGTGTGGGGACGGGGAGTTACCTGTGTGAGGGTGGGGAGTTACCTGTGTGAGGGGTGGGAGTTACTGTGTGAGGGGGCGGGAGTTACCTGTGTGAGGGGTGGGGAGTTCACCGTGTGATGGCGGGAGTTACCTGTGTGGGGACGGGGAGTTACGTGTGGGGACGAGGAGTTACCTGTGTGGGGGCGGGGAGTTACCTGTGTGGGGGCGGGGAGTTACCTGTGTGAGGTGGGGTTACCTGTGTGATGGCGGAGTTACCTGTGTGGGGACGGGGAGTTACCTGTGTGATGGCGGGGAGTTACCAGTGTGGGGACGGGGAGTTACCGTGGAGGGCAGGGAGTTACCTGTGTGAGGGGTGGGGAGTTACCAGTGTGAGGGGGTGGGGGTACCTGTGTGATGGCGGGGAGTTACCAGTGTGAGGGTGTGGAGTTACCTGTGAGGTGGGGAGTTACCTGTGTGAGGGTGGGGAGTTACCAGTGTGAGGGTGGGGAGTTACCAGTGTGAGGGTGGGGAGTTACCTGTGTGAGGTGGGAGTTACCAGTGTGAGGGTGGGGAGTTACCTGTGTGAGGGTGGAAGTTACCTGTGTGAGGTGGGGAGTTACCAGTGTGAGGGTGGGGAGTTACCAGTGTGAGGCGGGGAGTTACCTGTGTGAGGTGGGGAGTTACCTGTGTGATGGTGGGGAGTTACCTGTGTGATGGCGGGGAGTTACCTGTGTGAGGTGGGGAGTTACCAGTGTGAGGGTGGGGAGTTACCAGTGTGAGGGGTGGGAGTTACCTGTGTGAGGGTGGAGTTACCTGTGTGAGGGTGGGGAGTTACCTGTGTGTGAGGGTGGGGAGTTACCTGTGTGAGGGTGGGGAGTTACCTGTGAGGTGGGGGGTACCTGTGTGATGGCGGGGAGTTACCTGTGTGAGGTGGGGGTTACCTGTGAGGGGTGGGGAGTTACCAGTGTGAGGGTGGGAGTTACCTGTGTGATGGCGGGAGTTACCAGTGTGAGGTGGGGAGTTACCTGTGTGAGGGTGGGGAGTTACCTGTGTGAGGGTGGGGAGTTACCTGTGTGAGGGTGGGGTTACCTGTGGGGCAGGAGTTACTTGTGTGATGGCGGGGAGTTACCAGTGTGAGGGGTGGGAGTTACCTGTGTGAGGGGGGGAGTTACCTGTGTGAGGGTGGGGAGTTACCTGTGTGGGGACGGGGAGTTATCTGTGGGGGCGGGGAGTTACTTGTGTGATGGCGGGGAGTTACCAGTGTGAGGGGTGGGGAGTTACCTGTGTGAGGGTGGGAGTTACCTGTGTGAGGGTGGGGAGTTACCTGTGTGTGGGGACGGGGAGTTACCTGTGTGATGGCGGGAGTTACCAGTGTGGGGACGGGGTTACCTGTGTGGGGCGGGGAGTTACTGTGTGGGGCGGGAGTTACCTGTGTGGGGACGGGAGTTACCTGTGTGGGGACGGGGAGTTACCTGTGTGATGGCGGGGGTCCAGTGTGGGGACGGGGAGTTACCTGTGTGAGGGTGGGGTTACCTGTGTGAGGTGGGAGTTACCTGTGTGAGGCGGGGAGTTACCTGTGTGAGGGTGGGGAGTTACTTGTGTGTGATGGCGGGAGTTACCTGTGTGGGGACGGGGGTTACCGTGTGGGGACGAGGTTACCTGTGTGGGGGCAGGGGAGTTACCTGTGTGGGGGCGGGGAGTTCTGTGTGAGGGTGGGGTTACCTGTGTGATGGCGGAGGTTACCTGTGTGGGGACGGGGGTTACCTGTGTGATGGCGGGAGTTACCAGTGTGGGGACGGGGAGTTACCTGTGTGGGGCGGGAGTTAACCTGTGTGAGGGTGGAGGTTACCAGTGTGAGGGTGGGGAGTTACCTGTGTGATGGCGGGGAGTTACCAGTGTGAGGGTGGGGAGTTACCTGTGTGAGGGGTGGGAGTTACCAGTGTGAGGGTGGGAGTTCCAGTGTGAGGGTGGGGAGTTACCTGTGTGGGGGTGGGGAGTTACCAGTGTGAGGGTGGGGAGATACCTGTGTGAGGTGGGGGAGTTACCTGTGTGAGGGGTGGGGAGTTACCAGTGTGAGGTGGGAGTTACCAGGTGAGGGCCGGGAGTTACCTGTGTGAGGGTGGGGAGTTACCTGTGTGATGGTGGGGGAGTTACCTGTGTGATGGCGAGGAGTTACCTGTGTGAGAGTTACCAGTGTGAGGGTGGGAGTTACCAGTGTGAGGGTGGGGAGTTACCTGTGTGTGGGGAGTTACCTGTGTGAGGGTGGGGAGTTACCTGTGTGGGAGTTACCTGTGAGGGTGGGGAGTTACCTGTGTGAGGGGTGGGAGTTACCTGTGTGATGTGGGGAGTTACCTGTGTGAGGGTGGGGTTACCTGTGTGAGGGTGGGAGTTACCAGTGTGAGGGTGGGGAGTTACCTGTGTGATGGCAGGGAGTTACCAGTGTGAGGGTGGGGAGTTACCTGTGTGAGGGTGGGGAGTTACCTGTGTGATGGCAGGGAGTTACCAGTGTGGGGGCGGGGAGTTACCAGTGTGAGGGTGGGGAGTTACCTGTGTAGGGCGGGGAGTAAATAAAAGCGTCGGTGAGGATGGTGAGGCCAGCCAGGTGTAGAGAGGCGAGGGGCCACCAGCCAGTGTTGTGGGTTGACAGGGCCGCCACTTGCTCAGTCCATAACCCGCTCCGTGACGACCGCACCACCGTGTGTACCGACCTGTGATGGAGAATGAGTCGCTAAGTGTTACAGTATTAAGGAAAAAAGCAAATCGTTAATGAGCAGGATCTTTATGCTATATTATTTAACTTCTCAAATATAAGAAATTGCTAAAATCAGAAAAACTTTTGTGATTTTAGAGAGTTAAAGGTATAATTTGATTCATATTCACTTTTTAAACTCAAACTATTCTACACGAATCTTCATTATCTGGGGGAGCTTCAGTGAGCATTATGGAATTCTATTGTTTCTTTGATGAAGGTTCAGTCACAACACCACCACAAGTTCTCTGCTTTCGCTTCTATACAGAGAGCATTTTTTTCCATCATAAGAAACAATTATTTGAGCATAACTTAATAGGCTTTCTTTGATGGTTCCTCTCTCTGGTAAAAACAACTTATATCCCTTATTATGTGAGATTAGTAATTAGGACCCCCCATTAATTACACCCAATTAATGTATATAAGATTCTCTCTGGGTTCAGTAGCAGCGTACCCAAGTAATTAGTAAATATTATTGGGCTGTATGGGTCTTGCAATATATGTCCCCATTAGTATCCATAGTGAAGATGGTGTTAGTTTGTGTAGTGTCTGTGTTCTCTCACTCTCACTGTCTTCTTCCCTCTATTCTTATGTAACTCTCTCTCTACCTCGGGTGTGGTTCCATCTGCAGCGCTGCCTTGATGAGCCTGGTGTGGGTGATGCGGTTGTTCTGCTGTTTCCTCCAGGTGGGTGAGCGGGTGCAGGCGAGGTTGACGAGAGCTCCCGGGGGTGCCCACATGGCCGCCTCCACCGTCCTCTTGGAGTGGTCCTTGTGCTGGTTCATTAACACCTCCACCTGAGAGAGACGCCTTGATACTGTTAAGGATAGGTTAGCTTAGGTTAGGTTAGGTTACGTTACGTTGGGTTTGGTTGGGGTGGGTTGGGTTGGGTTGGGTTGGCGGGTGTTAAGGTCGGTGTATATTGTGAGGAGAGAGAGAGAGAGAGAGAGAGAGAGAGAGAGAGAGAGAGATAAATGCTTTACTCTCGACAATTGACTACCAAGGGTGAGCAGTGTGGAGTTACCAAGATACATCTTTATTATTAAAAATGAGTTGATCTTTGAATGCGGCTGCAGTGTAAATGTTTCTGAATTTACTTGAATTTCACGCCTTATTTTTCCTCTCTCAGCGGGGTGTAGGCAACATGTCCTTCGCGTGAGTGAGTGTGAAATGTTCCCTAAAGATAGCTGAACAGTGTTGGAAGATGGTGAACCAGCCGTGTTCTCCCCGTGGAGTTGATGCTGTTTTTATTTCCATTTATTTCAAAGATTCAAAATGACCGTAAAAATATAAACAGATGGGCCGAAATTTTCCTTATTTCAGCTATTTCCGGGTGTTTTTGCTTGAGAAAAGCAACTGTTAATTGTTCGTATATCTTACATAAATAGTATACATAAAGTGATTCCAATTGTTTGATAAAATATATATGTGTGTGTGTGTGTGTGTGTGTGTGTGTGTGTGTGTCGCGAAATGAACGACTGGAAGACTGACTGACCTTCATGGAGTGTTGGAGACTGACGGAGACATGGACAGTGTCAACGAGAACCTCGCCGTCAGTAGCCACGTGGAGGACAGCCAAGGTGAAGCGTGGAGACATCTCTTTAGACACCGTGACGCTCAGGGTGGCCACACCCTCCGTCCCTGCCCAGAAGACCTCCTCCGTCGCCGAGTATATCATCACGCCCTTGGCCATTACCTGCGGCACAGGTTGTCACGCTCTATTACCTGTCACACAGAGGTCGTTACCCTCTCTAGGTCACTGTCACCTCTCACAAGGTCACCACTACTCACCATGTACTGAAACGTGTCCATACGGAAGTTGGCCCTGACTTGGAAAATTGCGAACTCCCCGACATGTGCGTTGGTAGTGCTAGTAGTGATGTGAAGGTAGCGGCCCCTCGGCGAGTGTACAGGTAACCCCCTAGCTGTCGCTGATGTGCTGCTCGTTCTGTCGTTGTAAGTCGCCGACAATGTTAGCTCCGACGCCCCCTCCGGCACGTCTACTGTAAACCTGGAGGTGTGCAAAGGAGGTTCGTGGGTGACCAGTAGAAGCAGTAAAAGCATTTTGAAGGGAACGTGCACTGTAGGTGTTCTCTCTCTCTCTCTCTCTCTCTCTCTCATTTTTCCGCCTAAAATCCTCGGATGAACACTTGTAGGAAGTATGAGGAAACTAAAGAAATATCTCTAAATGACAGAACTTTCTCTAATTGACCTGTAAACACACCCCCGTAAAGGTTGATTGGTGACTGGTTGCTGAGATTCGTGACGTCACCATCCAGGAAGAACTACATAAGAACGTAAGAATGGAGGAAACTGCAGTGGGCCTATTGGCCCATACTGGGCAGTCCCGGTTACACCCAACCCCTATTGCTCATATATCCGTCCAACCTTTGTTTGAAGCTATCCAGCATATTCGAGTTAATGATGATGTTTGGTAACTTGTTCTACTCATCCACTACTCTTATTAAATCTAAACCAGTGTTTACCTATCGCGCACCTAAATCTAAATATGTCTAATTTAAATCCATTGCTACGAGTTCGCTCCTGGTTGGATAGTTTGAGTGCCTTTGTTATATCACCTTTGTTTAGCTCTGACTTCCATTTATACACCTCGGTCATATCGCCCCTCACTCTACGTCTCTCGAGGGAGTGCAAATTAAGATGCTTTAACCTGCCTCTGTACTTAAGGTTCCTTATGCCCGGTATTAGTCTTGTCATTCTCCTCTGAATTCTTTCTAGGGATTCTATTTCAATTCTGTAGTACGGTGACCAGAACTGAACCTCGTAATCCAAGTTTATTATTCCCCTTTGTTTTTCTTATCTCGGTCTTAACCCTACTGACCAATACCTTATGACCGAGATAAGAAAAGCAAAGAGGAATAATGAGCTGGGGGTAGTAAAGGAAACGAAGTGTACAGTATAGATATCCTAACTATTGGATACCGTTGTTCAAGGAATATTAATGATTACTGAATGACCTAACATAAGCACCAAGGAGGTATATAGGAGATGTACTGACAGTAGGATACCGTCGTTCCTGTATCTGGCGAAGACGGCGTGATGGGCGAGGTTGTGCAGGAGGTGGTCAGAACTGCTGTGGCTGGTGGTGGTGGTGTTCCTTCTGCCTTGCCACATCCACTCCTCCCGCAAGCGTTCTCCAAGGTCTCTTTCCTCTTGCTCGGGGCCCACCTCCGTCTGTAGCCAGGTAGTGTGTGTGAGAAAGAAAGAGAATTAATATCAAAGACAAAACACATCAACAACGCAATATTGTCAAGTACTCTTTCATCATTTATCTTGCTCCCACATCTCCCAGGCAGGGCTATAACACCATGAGTTTAGTAAAGGGGGGGGGAAGATGAAGGGGAAGGGGAATAAAAAGGGGTGAAGAGGAGGGGGACGAAGGGGTAGAAGACGAAGAGGAAGAAGGAGGAAGAAGAAAGGAGAGAAAGAGAGGAGGGTGTGATAAAAGTTACCTTAGGCAGGAGTTTGGTGCCCCCAGAGGCAAGGGTGACGGAGGCGGTGACGGTGAGTGTTGATTGTCGTAATTTGGCCTGGCTCAGTGGCTCCTTGTCCTCGTAGCTCACACTCACCTAATCGCACAGTTAATACAGTCAAACAGATATACAGACAGACAGGTGTACAGTTACACGTCTTTATGCCACACGCGGTTATTATTATTATTATTATTATTATTATTATTATTATTATTATTATTATTATTATTATTATTATTATTATTATTATTATTATTATTATTATTATTATTATTATTGTTGTTGCTTGTTGTTGTTGTTGTTATTGTTGTGTTGTTGTTGTTGTTGTTGTTGTTGTTGTTTGTTGGTTGGTTGTTGTTGTTGTTGTTGTTGTTGGTTGTTGTTGTTGTTGTTGGTTGTTGCTTGTTGTTGTTGGTTATTGTTGTTGTTGTTGTTGTTGTTGCTTGTTGGTTGTTGTTGTTGTTGTTGTTGTTTGTTGTTGTTGTTGTTGTTGTTGTTGTTGTTGTTGTTGTTGTTGTTGTTGTTGTTGTTGTTGTTGTTGTTGTTGTTGTTGTTGTTGTTGTTGTTGTTGTTGTTGTTGTTGTTGTTGTTGTTGTATCTTCTTCATTTTCTTCGTGTTTCACAAAGGGTCACTTAAGATGGTCACATTACATACACATTAATTATGTCTACCAACTGTAATGCTCGGCTTAAATTTTTTTTATTATTTTTTTATTTTTTTTTTGGGGGGGGGTGACCTTCCTGGACACTTGACTTGGAGGTAACCTATGATCTATGACCTTAATCGATGTCCCTTAACCTTCATCGATGACCTGTGACCTTCATCGATGTCCCTTAACCTTCATTGATGACCTGTGACCTTCATTTTGACGATTTTTTTTTGCGGTGGTCACATTAGGCACAGTCCATTTTATTAACATTTCCCTCATAGGATTAACAATATTGGTTAGGTTAGGTTAGGTTAGGTTAGGTTAGGTTAGGTGAAATCTAACAAGTATAAACAGTATTTAAAAAAACTATTTATTATTTTGGAGAGAGAGCGAGAGAGTTTAATTAGTTTCCTTCACCAAGCAAATATTGGCTCAGCAATTACTCAAGTGGATACACACACACACACACACACACACGCACACACACACACACAGACACACACATACACACACACACACACACACACACAGACACACACACACACACACACACACATACGTGATATATAAGACAGATGAAGGGTAAGCAGCAGACAGGGCTGACCACTCACACACTCACCGCGCCAGAGTACGACATCCCGGGCTTGAATATGAAAGGCGTGGAGCCCACGAATTCCAGCTTGACCTGAGGCGCGACGATCCTCGTTCTGGGGGTAGATGAGGTTAGGTTAGGTTAGAGGTAACGGAGGGAGAGAGCCATGTTGGTTAGGTAAGGTTATGTTTGAGGTGTATTAGGAGAAAGTGGGTTATATACAGTATATCCCACGTTTGACTTTATAATTTAGGGTCACTGCTCGGTCTCTAAATAAAATAATTAAAGTTTATCTTAAACCCATATCGTTCATATATCCGTCTAACCTATATTTGAATTTTCCCAGCGTATTCGAGTTAATGACGATGTTCGGTAACTTGTTCCACTCATCCACTACTTTATTTCCAAACCAATGTTTACCTATCTCACGCCTAAATCTAAATTTGTCTAATTTAAAACCATTGCTACGAGTTCGCTCCTGGTTGGATAGTTTGTGTACCTTTGTTATATCACCTTTGTTTAACCCTGACTTCCATTTATACACCTCGATCATATCGCCCCTCACTCTACGTCTCTAGAGGGAGTGCAAATTAAGATGCTTTTACCTGTTTCTGTACTCAAGGTTCCTAATGCCCGGGATTAGTTTTGTCATCCTCCTCTGTTTGCTTTTTAGGGATTCGATATCCATTCTGTAGTACGGTGACCGGAACTGAACCGCGTAATCCAAGTAAGGTCTCACAAGCGCAAGATATAGTTTTATGATAACCTCGCTAGTCTTGTAACCCAAGTACTTTGTTTCGAGCAAATACGCAATTTTGTCTTGGTTTAAGATTCCTACTTATCATTACCCCTAAATCTTTCTTACAGTCGGATTTCTCTATATCAACGTTGTTCATCTGATATCTGTCAAGACGGCCGTTGACACCAACTGCCCTTGACAACCATTCATTGCCAACTCTCCTTCTAGGCAGGACACCACATATGATAGGGATCCCTCCCTTCATCCTAATACGTTCGATAGCTGTCTTGAACTTATCAAGTCTACACCGGCCAATACCATTGCCGCCTGCACTGAGGTAGATAATGGGTTTGCTCCCATAACTAGACATGATATTGTCCATTCTGTTTACTATATCGCCCACCCCAGCTCCTGGCAAATACACTTACATTCTATTTCTGTCTTAACAGAACGCTCGATCAAAGTACCTTACCTGAGAATCCCCAACAATTAAGGGATTCATACCTTCCTTGTCAGCCTTGCCCTTGACTATGTTACCGTCCATTTCGTCTACCAAAGGGCTACAGGAGTTGGTACATTTAGTTGTTGTTGTTTCCTTTTTAACTTTCTGCACCACCAGTTTGGTTGACCCTCTCCTCTCTACCCTCCACTGGTCTGTGTTGTCGTCAGACACAGAAGCTCCCCGTCTCCTATCTTCCTCCTTCATCATCGCAATCACTTACTTCAACCTTAAGTTTTCGCCCTTGACCTTCACTAGCTCGGCCTTCAGAGAGGCACAAAGCTGTTCACAAATAACACTAGCCATGACTGCACTGTCCCGGGAGCTAATTCGGCCGTGACCTTTCTTCTAGCGAGGTCAACACACAACTCGTTGACTTAAGCGAAATCACAATAAAAATGGCGCCCAAAATAGCATTAACATTACACCGAGGTTTTACTGTACGGAGTAGGTTAATGTGTTAACTGGGCATCACCTCATGGATACAATTAACGAACTGAATCTTTGTGAATCTTAACCTGGAATAATGGAAAGGCAGCCCCCTCCCCTTGGTCGCCTCCTCTGGCAGCCCCTGCCTCCCTTGGTCGCCTCCTCTGGCAGCCCCTGCCTCCCCACACAACTCGTTGACTTAAGCGAAATCACAATAAAAATGGCGCCCAAAATAGCATTAACATTACACCGAGGTTTTACTGTACGGAGTAGGTTAATGTGTTAACTGGGCATCACCTCATGGATACAATTAACGAACTGAATCTTTGTGAATCTTAACCTGGAATAATGGAAAGGCAGCCCCCTCCCCTTGGTCGCCTCCTCTGGCAGCCCCTGCCTCCCTTGGTCGCCTCCTCTGGCAGCCCCTGCTACCTGGGAGCCCCTGCCTCCCCTGGTCGATTCACCTGGAAGCCCCTGCCTCCCCTGATCGCCTCACCTGGAAGCCCTGCCTCCCCTGATCGCCACACCTGGCAGCCCCTGCCTCCTCTGGTCGCTTCCCCTGGTCGCCTCACCTGGCAGCCCTTCCCCTGGTCACCTCACCTGGCAGCCCTTACCCTGGTCGCCTCCCCTGGTCGCCACTGTAGCCTCCCCTGGTCAGCACTCATTTGGCCCCTCCCCTGGTCGCCTCACCTGGCAACCCCGACCTCCCCTGATCGCTGCACCTGGTAGTCCCTCCCCTGGTCGCCTCACCTGGTAAATCCTTCCCTGGTCGCCTCACCTGGTAGCCCCTCCCTTTTTCGCCTTACCTGTTAACCCCTCTCCTGGTTGCCTCACCTGACAGCCCCTCCCCCGGTCGCCTTACATGGCAGCCCCTCCCGTAGTCGCCTCACCTGGCAGCCCCTTCCCTGGTAGCCTCACCTGGCAGTCCCTCTGGTAGTCTCAATTGGCAGCCCCTTCCGTGGTAGCCTCACCTGAATGTCCCTCTGGTAGTCTCAACTGGCAGCCTCACCTAGCAGTCCCTCTGGTGTCTCAACTGGCAGCCCCATCCCTGGTAGCCTTACCTGGCAGTCTCTCTGGTAGTCTGAACTGGCAGCCCCTTCCCAGGCACCTCATCTGGTAGTCTCACCTGGCAAAACCCTTGATGACGTCATCAAGGAAGGTGTGTTGGACGGTGACCTGAACCTTGATCTCGGTGTCCGCGAGTTCAGACATGGCAGTTTGCTTCCCGAGTAGCTTCTCCAGCGGGTACCTGAAGTCGTGCCACCTGTCTATCTGTGAGGGAGGGAGTAACGCAAGCCTTAACGTGGAACAGTCACACCTTGCCCATAAGCCACGCCCCTCATAGAAATTTCAAACTAAACGTGTTCACAATTGGTAACCAGACTTGTTATCATCTAAAATAATGTTAAATATCTAAACTATCAAAATGCAAATGATTTCAAGGCAATAGCACTTCAGAGAGGATGTTAGAAAAATTTAAATATTTATCATAAAAGGTCGATATAAATACGCACTTAATACACGTGCAGTCCGGGGGAGGTAAAATGCTCAGGGGAACCAATCAGCTCTCTGTAGTTATAGACGACCGGCGGGGCTTATGGGCCAGCTTAGCGTGGAAAGGGTATGGTAAATTAGCTTCCTGGGAATTTGATAATATTGTTGGCTTTTTGTTTTGTAGTCTCCGGCTTAATAATATGTCCCTCGGTATCTGGAGAATCTCACCACTTTTTGTACCTTCGTCATTTAATAGAGTTTTCGGTTCTCTAACTGCAAATACCAAGATAGGTTCACATGAAGCTGGACGTACGTGAAGCTTAGGAATATTGTTTATGGTACGCAGAATCCACTGAGTTCCAGGATTATCCTACTCTTTCCGTTGATCTTCAGAGTTAATCTTTTAAATGTCAATAAATAGAAAGTTAATTTCCATAAACACAAAGGAAAATAAAGTAATGTGTTTGCGTTACAGCAGAAGACGAGAGGTATTGTCATTAATATACTCACGAAGGGTATGTTTTCATCGAACACCTTCCTGAAGTCTTTGTCTGGGAGCTTCCAATTGTCTTTAACGAAGACGGTGACATTAGCGATCCCCACGACGGGCTTGTAGGTGATGAACCTCCCCATAAACTTGCCCGAGATGCTCTCCTCGCTTGCTAGTGTGTAGAACGGCATATCCACCAACACCTGCGTCACACACACCCACAAAGACACCAGATTAGTTTACGGGGTCACATTGTATTATTGCATACAATATACACAGGTGCAAGGTCAGGTTCTCTCTACACACACACACACACACACACACACATATATATATATATATATATATATATATATATATATATATATATATATATATATATATATATATATATATATATATATATATATATATAAAATCACACGGGAAAATGGAAACAACAGGTACCTTGGCTTTTTCGTCTTCTTCAAGACATCTTCAGAGGTACTCCGTTGTTTCGACTTCAGTAATATTATCAAAATTTATCTTATCACGTTTTCATTGTGGATTTACATGAAATATATATATATATATATATATATATATATATATATATATATATATATATATATATATATATATATATACTGTAGCAATAGTATGGGGTTAAACAAAAAAACGAAAGATATATTCATGAGTGTTATTGCATGATTTATGTGTGTGGTGAGAGAGAGGGAACACCTACCTCGAACCTTGAGGTGAAGTACTTGGTGATGAGGAAGGGGTGCTCGTCCACTTGACCGCCCGCCACCACCTTCACCCTCCACCACCCAGGCTTCGGCAACCCTGGCACCTTCAGATCCAACTCCACCACACCTGTACACACCACTCATTACCCCTTGATACATATACCGCCACCTCACTACAACACAATACGTATTCTCTAATTATTATCTTCGTTTCTCACTTTTCTTAATTATTGGATATTTTACGTATATTGTAAAGAGATATTATCTTGAGGAATTTTTTATTAATGTGAAGTTAAATTTATAATGAAATATAAAAACAAAAATTATGAGAATTATTAGGCTATGTGTGAGGTATAAAGACTCAGGTGTGTGAGGAATAAAGACTCAGGTGTGTGAGGAATAAAGACTCAGGTGTGTGAGGTATAAAGACTCAGGTGTGTGAGGTATAAAGACTCAGGTGTGTGAGGAATAAAGACTCAGGTGTGTGAGGTATAAAGACTCAGGTGTGTGAGGTATTAAGACTCAGGTGTGTGAGGAATAAAGACTCAGGTGTGTGAGGTATAAAGACTCAGGTGTGTGAGGTATAAAGACTCAGGTGTTAGTAATTATAAAGACTCAGTGTGTGAGGGTATTAAGACTCCAGGTGTGTGAGGAATAAAGACTCAGGTGTGTGAGGTATAAAGACTCAGGTGTGTGAGGTATAAAGACTCAGGTGTGTGAGGTATAAAGACTCAGGTGTGTGAGGTATTAAGACTCAGGTGTGTGAGGAATAAAGACTCAGGTGTGTGAGGTATAAAGACTCAGGTGTGTGAGGTATAAAGACTCAGGTGTGTGAGGTATTAAGACTCAGGTGTGTGAGGTATTAAGACTCAGGTAGGTGAGCTGCAGCTAACATGTGTGTGGGGTAACTTACCTACGTTGGGAAACCGGGAGATCCATCGTCGCAGTACATAGCCGTCCGTGTCCTGCAACACACACACACACTGGTTAAGTAATGTAAGTCAGAGGCAGGCAGACGTGTGGCCCAGAATCACCCAAGCCTCGTTTTGTTTTCATTTGTCCACACCTTAAGTTAGGCAAGTTGTCCTAATCTCTAGTATATCATGGCACCCTACAACACTACTGCAACATGCAACACCGTGCTGTGACCATTGACATTTCATCATCGCGCTGGTTTCTTTTTATAGTTAGATCACTATAGTCCCACCAAGGAAAGAATCTTCAAGCAATAAGTTATCGTTTGTCATCAGTCAGGAATTGTTACTAAGTCCCGGATTCTCCACGATACTCGCCTTAAAGTTTGTGTTCATTTAAATGGGGGATGTGAGAAATATCTATTTGGTTCACTTAAGCCGTTGTACAAGAATGGAGGATACGTCACCAATTGGAGGGAAAAGGCGAGGGACGAAGGCAAAGCTGAGAAGCCGGTCTTGTGGAGTCTTGTGAAGTGTTTGCATGACTCAACGTTTTCTTTGACAACAGGCGTGATGTAGAATAAAAAACAAATAATAAAGATAAATTAATATTGAGAAAAACAAGAAGATAAAAAAAAAACCAAAACCAATGCTTAAATATTAATCAAGAAAACCATTTTGTCGGTTTATCTACTTTATTTTAGTGTGTGTGTGTGTGTGTGTGTGTGTGTGTGTGTGTGTGTGTACAATATATGTGTTTGTAGGTCTTAGTGTGTGTATCTGTGTTTGTAGGTGTGTGTGTGCGCGAAGATTAGACACCTCAGCAAGTTTCAATTAAAGAATAACCACCTTTGCGGTAACCTAACCTAACCCCAACAGGCAGCATCTGGTTGTTAATCTTCCAGTGAAATAAGCTGGGAGTGTCTGATCTTCAAGTGAAATAAGCTGGGGGTGTCTGATCTTCAAGTGAAATAAGCTGGGGGTGTCTGATCTTCAAGTGAAATAAGCTGGGGGTGTCTGATTTTCAAGCGAAATAAGCTGGGGGTGTCTGATCTTCAAGTGAAATAAGCAGGGGTGTCTGATCTTCAAGTGAAATATTTCAGAAGTGTCTGATCTTCAAATTAGAATAAGCTGGGGTGTCTGATCTTCAAGTGAAATAAGCTGGGGGTGTCTGATCTTCAAGTGAAATAAGCTGGGGGTGTCTGATCTTCAAGTGAAATAAGCTGGGGGTGTCTGATCTTCAAGTGAAATAAGCTGGGGGTGTCTGATCTTTAGGTAACCTAAATATTTCTTGAAAATATAAAGTATTCTTTATTGACATTTTCCCAGCTTTAATCTATAAATTCACAAGTCGGATTAAATAGATTGTTATGTTCTTCGAAACGTCAGTCCCAAAGCCATACACATTTAGTTCAGTGTCCCTCGGCAGTATTCAGATTACATGCTTTGGAAATTAATTAACCAGAGAATTTCAATGGACCTTTAACCCGCACACAACCTTCACGAGGGGTAGATTAAGTCAATGTCTATTAATAGTAGCGAACGGATGAGTGAGTGTGTGTGTGGGGGGTGTTGGTCCCGTGTCAATGGATCTGCAATTTTCCATGATATTAGGTAGGTGGAGGGGGAGGTACAGAGGTAGGTGTTGGAGGGAGGTACAGAGGTAGGTGTTGGAGGGGTCACTCACCATCACGTAGACGTCGACGGGGCCCTCATAAGGCTTCATGTTCCTCCTCAGCAACACCACCCGGAACTCAACTGTAAAAAACACGCGTATCATGTTAGTCTCGCCATCCTGACCCATCCTACCTCCACCATCCTTGACTATACACCATCCTACCTCCACCATCCTTCACTATACACCATCCTACCTCCACCATCCTTCACTATACACCATCCTACCTCCACCATCCTTGACTATACACCATCCCTACCCCCACCTTCCTCGACTATACACCATCCTACCTTCACCATCCTTCACTATACACCATCCTACCCACCATCCTTGACTATACCATCCCTTCACCATCCTTCACTATACCATCCTACCCCACCATCCTTCACTATACACCATCCTACCTCCACCATCCTTGACTGCACACCATCTACCTTCACCATCCTTCACTATACACCATCCTACCTCCACCATCCTTCACTATACACCATCCTACCTCCACCATCCCTTCACTATACACCATCCTACCTCCACCATCCTTGACTATACACCATCCTACCTCCACCATCCTTGACTGTACACCATCCTACCTCCACCATCCTTGATTCTACCATCCTACCTCCACCATCCTTCACTATACACCATCCTACCTCCACCATCCTTCACTATACACCATCTACCTCCACCATCCTAGACTATATACATCCTACCCCCACCATCCTTGACTATACACCATCCTACCTCCACCATCCTTGACTATACACCATCCTACCCCACCATCCTTGACTATACACCATCCTACACCCACCATCCTTGACTATACACCATCCCTACCCCCACCATCCTTGACCTACACCATCCCCCACCATCCTTGACTATACACCATCCTACCTCCACCATCCTTGATTCTACACCATCCTACCTCCACCATCCTTCACTATACCATCCTACCTCCACCATCCTTGACTATACACCATCCTACCTCCACCATCCTTCACTATACACCATCCTCCTCCACCATCATGACTATACACCATCCTACCTCCACCATCCTTGACTATACACCATCCTACCTCCACCATCCTTCACTATACACCATCCTACCCCCCACCATCCTTGACTATACACCATCCTACCTCCATCCTTCACTATACACCATCCTACCTCCACCATCCCTTCACTATACACCATCTACCTCCACCATCCTTCACTATACACCATCCTACCTCCACCATCCTTCACTATACACCATCCTACCTTCACCATCCTTGCACTATACACCATCCTACCTCCACCATTCATACACCATCCTACCCCACCATCCTTGACTATACACCATCCTACCTCCACCATCCTTGACTATACACCATCCTACCTCCACCATCCTTCACTATACACCATCCTACCTCCACCATCCTTCACTATACACCATCCTACCTCCAGTATTACTCCTTCACAACCGTCTATCCCATATCCCTGAGGTTACAAAGGGGTGTATCAAGGTAAAGAGAAGCTCTATAACTCGGCCCTGATCGTCCTGACATTAGCGTGTGTGCACCGCTTATCACCTTCCAGTGACACACACCTTGGCCAAAACAGTTCTCATACGTCATTCAGTTATACCGCTGATGCTGTAACAAGCAATACCACAAACAATACGTGGTATCACCATATACAACCCAGTATACTGTATATGACCTATTGCTAGACTCCCGACCGTTGGAACACTCGCCACATTATGTCGTTTTCCCACAATGACGGGTCATAACTTATCTTTCTAGTACACCCACGACCTCCACTAACAGTCGGATCATAACCCGGTGTTCATTGGCTCACACAACATATTCCCTTCTTACTTCATTTTCTCCCTTCCACTTCATGTACAGATGTACAGTAGAGTTAATTACATTAGACTTAATCATTAAGATTGGCTGTTACATGTTAAAGTCATTAAATTACCAACATCATACTTCCATCTTTTCGTCACACATCGTCATGATTATATTCCGCTAAGATAGACCCAAGTAGTACATGTAATTAACCAAAAATTAATTTTAAATTATAAATAAATATTTTCAGCTCATTAATTTACAAAGTAAATTAGGAGAAGCAGTGTGTCGTGTCGTCAAAACTCTTGGTGGAATGACGTGGTATCTGGCAACTTTAAGATTTAAGGTCATTTAAAGGAAACTTTATGATAATTGATGTCTCGGTACACACTCAGTGCTGTATGCCGAGCATTTCACAAAGGATGAATCTAGAGACAGAAGGAAAACGAAATTACCCACAGGTGATAGTGTAAGAACCAATTGTAACAGAAAAGGTTATATTATGGACAGCAATATACCCTACCTAGTGCATTACTGGAGTGACGAGGTGACTTTAACGACCTCAAGGCAAAGTAATGGGTAGCACTGCGTTGTATTTCAGACAAAGGACTATCATACAGGTATTACTTTGTATTCCTGGTTATGTTCTATAAAGATCGAATTAATTGCCTCAGGTCGTCGAGCTTGAGACATAAATAGAGCAATGGAATGTTAGTAGGAGGAAGGAGAAATAGGGAAAGATGTGGTTGAGAAGGATATGCGTGAGAGAATGAGAAAGGAGAACGAGAGAGAGAGAACCATGCGACGAAGAATGACCCGAAAGGTTCCACACCACATTAAACAACGTGGGATTAATGACGCGAATATGGAGAAAAAGCCAAATAGAAAGAAAAAAATAAGACGAAGAAAAGGTATAGGAATATGAAAGAAAGAAAGAAAAAGAGAAAACTTCAGGAATTATATATTATTATCCCTTGGGTGTTGAGAGGGAGATGGTAGCAGATATGATGTTTTGAAGGTGAAGAGAGGACTAAATTTTCGAGTGTGAGAAGAAGGTTAATACTCGAGGTTAGGGTGGAGGTGAATGCAAGAGTGAGCCATTTAAACGTCACTCAAATCTACTCCCCAGAAAATAAATTCTATTAGAAGAAACAAGAACAATCTATTTTCAATAAGAACATAAGAACATAAGAAAATAAGGAGTCTGCAATAGGCCGGTTGGCCTATGCATGGCAGCTCCTGTCGAGAGTTACTACCACTCTCTATCATCCATGAATATATCCAGCCTCCTTTTAAAACTTTCCAGCGTTCCAGCACTTACTACAAAGTTGCTAAGCTTGTTCCACTCGTCCACCACCCTATTTGTGAACCAGTTCCTTCCTATCTCCCTCCTAAACCTAAACTTATCCAACTCAAATCCGTTGTTCCGAGTCCTATCCTGCTCGGATATTTTAAGAACTTTATCTATATCACCTTTATTGATTCCTTTCACCCACTTGAATACTTCTATCATATCTCCCCGCACTCTTCGTCTTTCTAGGGAATGCAAGTTTAGTTTCTTTAACCTATTCTGATATGGAAGGTTTCTAAGTCCCGGAATCATTTCGTCATTCTTCGCTGCACCGACTCTAGTGAATTGATATCCATTCTATAATAAGGGGACCAGAACTGAACCGCATAATCGAGGTGCGGCCTGACTAGCGCAATATATAGTTGCAATAAGACCTCTTCACTCTTATTACTTACACTTCTAGATATAAAACCCAATACTCTGTTTGCTTTATTTCGAACATTAACGCACAGTTTTCTAGGCCGTAGGTCCGGGCTTACAAGTACCCCTAGGTCTCTTTCATAAGTCGACTTCTCTAGGCTGATGTTGTTAAGGCTGTATACATTGACAGTATTTGTTCTTCCAATATTAAGTACCCTGCACTTGCTGGTGTTGAATTTCATTTGCCATTTTTCAGACCACCCCTGCAGTTTATTTAGATCCTCCTGTAATGCATTTGCATCCTGCCCTGAATTAATCTGCCGCCCTATTTTGGTGTCATCCGCAAACTTGCTTATGTCACTGCTGATTCCAGTATCCAGATCGTTTATGTAGATTATGAACAAGAGCGGGCCCAGTACTGACCCCTGGGGAACCCCACTGGTTACACGACCCCACTCACATTTAACACCATCTACGCTGACCCTCTGCATTCTATCGGTGAGCCATGATTGTATCCAGTTTAAAACTTTCCCTCGATACCATGAGCCTTAATTTTTCTCAGAAGCCTCTGATGCGGTATTCTGTCAAATGTCAGCTGCTCCAACACTTACAGGGGAAGGAATTCAATCACAAATATGAGAGTTTTCCTTCTTTGAAAAGTCTCTCTATATAGAATTTCTCCTGCCATGTTGATGGATTAATAAATGCCTACAGCTGCACCTGACACTGATTGTGAAGCTTCAGCTAGGCGTAAAGAAGGTGAACGTAACAGCCGATCACGAGGCAGGTAATCTACCGTAGACAGGTGTAGTGGATAGGCATATTACTACTCCACATTATGTTCGCTACAGGTGTGGTGCAGAGGCGTACTTACTCATCTGGCCGCCGGTGTATATAGGCCTGGAGGTCTGGACGAGGATGGTAAGGAAGCGCTGGGTGGTGGCCACGTGTGTTGTGTTTGTAAATACCAATTGGGACCCTCGGCGACCTTCCACTCGTAGACGCGCTCCACTTGTTTCCACCATTCCCACCTCACTCGGCGCCTGTTCTCATATATTAAACAAACACATCAGCCAACGAGTATATTTAGCATATCCAGACATAGGGAAACGCTCAGTGTATGGACATAAGATTATACATAATACTGGAACATAAAGAAAAAATAGTGTGTATACAGTATATATATATATATATATATATATATATATATATATATATATATATATATATATATATATATATATATATATATATATATATATATATACATACTGTATACACACTACACACACAGTATACTTTAGCACAAGCATACACAAACAATTACAGAAACACACACACACACACACACACACACACACACACACACACACACACACACACACACTAACCTAACCTGCATCAGTATATTCTTTTTAAACACTAGTATAATTTCTCCCCACAAATATATTTCCTAAAACTCAGAACTATAAAATAACAAGATTGACGTAAGTAGGATAATTATGTTCTATATTGTCTAGAGTAAAAGGAAGCTCTCAGAATATTACCAAAAGACGGATCAAGTAATACAACATCGACCAAACATTGAAGCATTGATTATGGAGGTCAGGAGGATGGTCAATGATGCTAATTTGTTTCAGTTTCTTTCGCTCTTGTTTTATTCGTTTGGTGATGGGAAGAGAGTGTTGTGGCTAGTTGTCTTGTGAAGGATATTATTATGTTCGCAGTTTTTTTTCTCCATACAAGTCTGGTTTTTTTGTCACTGTCATCTCCCGTCTATACATAAACCTGTCATCAATATCACCATTATCATTACCATCATTTTGTGTGTGTGGGGGGGGGGGTGGAGTTCCAATGTAGTGTGTGATAGCCGCGAGTACCTGATGACAGCTCTACATGTTGCTCGTCTCTTGCGGTCACTCAGTCACTCATGTTAGGTTTTTTATATCCAACGTTATTTTGCCTACCCTTAGCACTCATCCCTTCCACATTCAAACACATACTAATTTTTACCCAATTAGTCTCCTTCATTATCTCTACATGACTAAACCGTCTAACACACAGATACAGAAGACGTTTTGGTAGAGGCGATATTCAGCTCTTAATACCCCACACATTCTTAGCTCTTCAACAGGGTTGTCTATATTTCAGTGTCACATTACACATCCATCTCACAATTCTCTTTTCATCTCGCTCAAGCCTACGCATGTCATCCCCTTTTATAACTGCCCATGTTTCACTACCATACCACGTAACACGTCTAACCCCTGTTACCTACAGTATATATTTTTGGTTCCTTGAGAAACTTGTGATTCTCTGTGATGTCCCTATTGCTACCCACAATATTGAGGAAAGGCAAAGTTGACAAGTAAAAATACGGAGTGAAGATAATCTAGGGGTGAAATACATGTATGCAGTAAGTAGGCAGCACACACACAAGAATGTCTGTTGGTGACAGACAAATATCTGTCATTAAAGGGATAAGAAGATTATCAAGTAAATTGAGTAATTTAATAACATTTATATTAAGGATTGAATAAGATAGCTAATTAGGTACATTAAATAACACAAGTAAAACACAAAATGTGCAATTACCAAACAAAAGTAACAACTATGCATCTACCAAAACACAAGAATATTACCAAATCATTCGTACTATAAACATTAAATACACATATAATATACAACACAAAAACCTGATAGAAATGACAGTTCAGGTAGCAAGTCTGGAATGCGACGGCCAACCACAAAGAACCAGGGATTAACGCTGTAGTCCACTACCATCAAACCATCATACCACCACCACCACCAGCAGTACAGTAGTCCTTAATACAATTCGTCGTCCACACCCCGGGAGAAGAGGCACACCGTAGGCCGCAGATACGAGACTCAGCTTATCAGGCAGACACACTTGCCTCGATACCTCGGTCTCATAGTCAAACGGGAAACTGGTTCTGAAACGGTGCTCACTGAGGTCGAGTAGCTTCGTGAAGCAGTTTCTTCACCTGGTGTCAAGTTGGAGTAAGTGATGGTTATGGTGTTGGAGTGAGGAGGGGACAGAGTCGTCACATTATATATATATATATATATATATATATATATATATATATATATATATATATATATATATATATATATATATATATATGTATATATATATATATATATATATATACATATATATATATATATATATATATATATATATATATATATATATATATATATATATATATATATATATACAGAGAGAGAGAGAGATTACTTCACTACCCACCTTCATAATGATGGTCTTCATCTCCCCTGGCTGTAGAACAACTTGGCCTTGGGTGATCTCTTGGGAGTCATCCATGGCCAGAGTCGCCCGAACGTCCACTGGGCCGTCCACCTCGTGCTTTCCTCCTCTCTTCAACACCCCCACCACCACGGCGAACACAGAATCCGGTCTGACCAACGTTGGCGCCACCACCACGTACGACCTGACAGAAGAGGTCCTTGGTTTAGTTTAACAAGTTTGTTGGCACAATTGACGTACAATTTGCCTAATCTGAGTAGGTCAGTCAGGCCTTGACACTGAGGGTGCTATCACTGTTCAGTGCCATGCAGGACAGAGGTTCATACACAAGAGATAATAATATAGGGTATGTATGGGAGAGGGAGGGTAAACGGAGGGTATGTGTGGGAGAGGGAGGGTATGAGAAGGTGGGAGAGTTAGAACGTTGCAAGAGAGATGGAATAGAAGGTTAAGGGGAAATGAGATACACGGGTTAAAAGAAGAAGAAGACTCATCCCACAGGAAAAAAAATAGTGTTCATGCTTGCCTTCTTAGACTTGAGCGAAGGAAGGAAGGAAGGAAGGAAGGAAGGAGAGGTGTTACATAATGAGGCTTATTCCCTGTACGGGTTCAAGTGCCAGACCTCTCACTAGGAACAAAGGAAGGATGGAGAGAGAGAGAGAGAGAGAGAGAGAGAGAGAGAGAGAGAGAGAGAGAGAGAGAGAGAGAGAGAGAGAGAGAGAGAGAGGTAGTTTTTTAGTTTAACAAATTTATTGACAAAGCTTGAGTACAGTTTGCCTATTCTGAGTAATTCAGTCAGGTCTTGGCACTATCATTTCTCACTGCCACGCAGGACAGAGGTTCGTACACAAAGAAATGCATCATATTTATTAGCAGTATTTTGTATATATAGGTCAGAGTCATGTGGATAATGTCACTGTTCACTGCCATGCAAGACAGTGGTTCATATACATTGGACGTCATATTCTAATTGAAGACTAATCACTGTGGGCTAGCACATTTGGGATAAACGGCAAGAATGTCCCCAATTACACCTGATTCAATATAGTGATTACAAAGTTCATGATAAAATAAGCCAGGTGGCCTGAAGTCTTTGACAGTGTCACATTCAATAATATAGTGTTCAGGTGTATGCTTTAAAGGTTTATCACAAAGTTTACATGCTGAGTGTTCCGGTATGGGTACAGCGTTACTAACTTGCCAGATGTGTCTGTATCCTAGTAGGAGAGAGAGAGAGAGAGAGAGAGAGAGAGAGAGAGAGAGAGAGAGAGAGAGAGAGAGAGAGAGAGAGAGAGTTAGGGCGGAGGGATTGGGTGAGAGAGGGACGGGGAGGAGGGATTGAGAGAGGTAGAGAGTCAGGGAGAAGGAATCAAGTGAGAAAGAGAGGTACGGATAATAACAAGATTACAGTATGCAATAAATACCCTAGATGAAAAGACACAATAGGTGCTGTGTGTAAATAATAATAATAATAATTAACGGTTTATTGTAAAAGTTCTGCAGCCCGAAGGCTGAAAATATACATTGGACATGAATGACTTATTACATACATTGGTAGTTTAACAAAAGCCTTCATTAGAGAAAGGTAAAGGAACATACAGTGAACATACAGATTAATGTAGGTGTTGAACAGCAAACTAGTAGTGTAGTAACTCCCTCCCAGATGGTTTAGGAGGAACTCGCGTGGTGTAGTAGTTCCTCAGATGGTGTTATGAGGGACCTGGCGTGGTGTAATAACTCCCTAACAGATGGTGTTATGGGGGGCATCACGTGGTGTAGTAATTCCCTCACAGATGGTGTTCTGAGGGGCCTGACGTGGTGTAGTAATTCCCTCACATATGGTGTTATGAGGGACATCTGGTGTAGTAATTCCCTCACAGATGGTGTTATATGAGTGAGGTTTGGTCCCAGGCCTTCCTATGGTAGACGGATTAACACATCACTGGTTGTTGCTAGGTCTCACGGGCCGTTGTCACTGGGTACCTGGGACCTCACTGTGTGAAGGTTAACTTGGGTACGACTGTTACTGTTGAGTTGTTCTCACTGACTTAAGCACTGTTCACCACTGTTCACCTCTGTTTAACACTGGTTCCGTTCCTTTCCTAAATGAAATTGTAACATCTGGCGAGAACTTGTTGATATTCCGGTGGGGAGGAGGGTTCAGGGGAGGGGGTTGGTATGGGCCAACTTAACAGTTGACCTGGCTGCTCCGAGAGGAGCGCCAGGTACGAATTGACCCTTCGGTGGTCAAGGATGTGTGTGTGTGTGTGTGTGTGTGTGTGTGTGTGTGTGTGTGTGTGTATGATAAGGAAAGGCAGTAGGCTGCAGAGAAAGGCTGACTGCAGGCTGGCGGTGACCAAGGTGAGGAGGAGTACAATAGTGTTATGTATTATTCTGGCTACGTGCCCCGGGTAAAGGTGCAGGTAAACAAATATGACGGGAATCTCATTACTGGAGAAGACATAGTGGGACCTTGGCGATCAGTCACGTGTGTAATTATGTTGTACCATCACCTTGAGTCTAGACATATGAAGAGGCGTGTGTGTGTGTGTGTCTGGTATGGTTTGTCTGTTTTTGACTACGCGCAGGGAGGAACTTTTTAGTGAGATTGAATTGGGTTAGGTTAGCTTAAGATAAGTTAGGTTAAGTTAGGTTAGGTTAGGTCAGATTAGGTAAGGATAGGTTAGGCTGTGTTAGATTATATATGATTAAGTTAAGTTAGGTTACATTTGATTAAGTTAAGTGAGGTTAGGTTACATTAGGTTAAGTTAGGTTAGGTTGGGTAATGTTAGGTAAGGATAAGTTGTATTCAGTTTTAAGTTTATTATGGTCAGAAGAGTTACCCCGGGAAGAAGATACCATCAAGCATATTGTCACCATAAACAGAACCAACAATTAAAACAAGTAAACGTGAGTGTAATTACCGAATGCACTACACCCCTGTACAGTATATACGAACCGACGAATCGACAAAAAAAATACAGTTACGTATTTTTCAAAATTATGTTGAAATCTGAAAACAAAACAATGAATAGAACAGCTGGTAAACGTGTTGTAATGTTTGTTCTGGTTTTGAATACAGTAATTATGAAATATTTATTGCTGTAATTATGATATGCATTGTTATCATTGCATGTTTTAATCCGAATCCAACGCTAACTTAACTAAATCTAACCTAGTGTACCCTAACCTAACCTAACCTAACCTAACCTAACCTAACCTAACCTAACCTTAGGGTGGATAAACGTCGGGGAATCCGATAAGCTACTTGATATTCTTGATGCATTGAAGATTTGCATTGGTGAGTGAGCGCGACCTTCACAAGCCTGCTCACTGTATGAATACATGTACGCTGACTGACTGACTGGGTCGAGGATTGACTGACTTACTGACTGGTTCCGGGTTTGACTGACTGGCTGGTTTCAGAACTGACTGACTCGGCGATTGAGTGGCTGGCTGGTTCGAGAACTGTCTAGTTGGCAAGCTCGACTGTCTATTTGACTGGTTAGCTGGTTGACTCAGGTGAGGTTAGCTTGATGGCTGGCTGGCTGGTTGTCAGGTCAGGTTAGCTGGATGGCTGATTGGCTGGCCGATTTAAGAACTGACTAACTGGCAGATTTACTAGGTGGCTGGTTTGAGGTCCGACTGTCCTGCTGTTCACGTAGGTTACAGGCGTGGTCAACCTTCCTCGTGCACACAGTCCACACCATCATTGACTGTACGCCAAGTTATGCAACGCTCGTTATAGATTCTCTGTGAGTGTCGTCAACTCTTTTTTATATGGTAGGTAGTGGAGGTGCAGGGAAGCACGATGGTGACCTTTGGAACACCATCCATCTCGCAGGGAGAGTTATTACCGCGTGGGAACAGTGTAAGCTCTCTCACTCTCATGTTTAACACACACACACACACGCACACACACATACACACCACACATACACACAGCTTCAAAGCCCTTTATTATAGCCGGCTTCTAACGTTTAAATCTTGATACTACTGCATTTATAAATAGGTTGCTACAACATAACCCTGTGTTTGAATATTTTGTAATATTTTAGTCCCGACAAACACAAACAAATATCAACGACTTGTAATTGAAATCTGTTACAACGTTGCCTTATCACCCACATGACTCTGACCTATATCCAGTATACTGTTAATGAATATGATGTATTTCTTTGTGTACGAACCACCGTCCTGCATGGTAGTGAACAGTAACATCAACCCACACGAATCTGAACCTATATATACTGTTAATGAATATGATCTATTGTGTATGAACCTCTGTCCTGCGTGGCAGTGAGAAGTGATTCCACCTTCAGTGTCAAGACCTAACTGAATTACTCAGAATAGTCAAACTGTACTTCAAGTTTTGTCAATAAATTTGTTAAACTAAAAACTCTTTGAAGACGAAGCTAGATTATGGGTCTATTGGTGCAGTGAAGAATTTGCTATTAAATTCTTCACCCCATGGTTCTCTATAATTAAGCCTGAGAGAGAGAGAGAGAGAGAGAGAGAGAGAGAGAGAGAGAGAGAGACCTCCATACCCTTTTCCTCCCCACTTTCCCAGACGTATGAGGTTTCCCTGTCATGGCTGAGGTTAATCAACCCCAGCTTGGAAGTCGGAGAGAGAGAGGGAGGGAGGGAGGGAGGGAGGGAGTGTTGTAATAAATTCCTCATCGACATTTTGGGGGGGCGGGGGTGGTGTCTGTCTAGGTGCCTTTCTGTCTGTCTACGTGCCTGTCTGTCTGGGTGTCTATGTCTGTCTAGGTGCCTGTCTGTTTGAGGAACCTGTTTGTAGCGAGTGTACATATATTTCTATCTTAGCGGAGGTTATATAAGTCCTGCAGCCGTCCACACGTCGCGACAGAGCTCCACGTTACTGCACATTACCCCCGAGTCTCTGTGTTTAGGGTCGCAGCTGAAGTTCAAGGCCAAGTTTTTAGATTGAGATATTGAACCAAGATAACATTTAAGGATTTTTACTAGACTGAGTGTGGGGTTGCTAAATATTGGTTTTACCTTTTTGTAACATTGCAGCGCAGTTTCATTAAATTTTCTGTCTCTTTTGCAAGATTTCATAACTTTGGATAATCAAATACTCAGAAACTGAATATAAATGTAGTGCGTCTGTAAATATTGTATACTGACTGACTGACTTGCAAATTTTCGTGGAGATTGCAT